AATCAACGAACCAAACTTATAGAATTTTATTTTGAATATCACCATTCAATAATTCAAACTCAACGAGCATCTCGTCGTCATTTCAATTTGCGGAATTCGCCCTCTGAATCAATGATTCGACGCTTAGTGGCACGATTTCAGCAACAAGGCACAGTTATGGATCTCCCACGAAGCGGAAGGCCACGTTCCGCAAGAAATGAAGGGAACATTCAACGCGTTCAGGAGAGTGTTCAGGAGAATCCGGAAACTTCAACCCGAAGACGTTCTGCTGAGCTGCAGATGTCTCAAAGGTCTTTACGCAGAATATTAAGAGGAAATTTACATCTGTTTCCATATAAAGTGCAGCTAGTGCAAGAACTAAAACCAGCAGATTTTCAAGAACGACTAACTTATGCAGTTCGCTTGCAAAGAATGGCTCGAGAAGATAATGAATTTATTCATTCTCTGATCATGAGCGATGAAGCCCATTTTCATTTGAATGGCTTCGTAAATAAGCAGAACTGCAGAATATGGGGTACCGAGAACCCAAGGGTGGTTCATCAAAGGCAATTACATCCGCTTAAATGTACAGTATGGTGCGCAGTTACGTCTCAACGAATTATTGGACCATTCTTCTTCGAAGACCACGATGGGAATGCTGTATCTGTAGATGGCGACCGATATCGTGATATGATTCAAAATTTCTTAAGACCAGCTCTTGCTGACAATCAAACGATGACTTTCCAACAAGATGGAGCCACTGCGCATACTGCTCGAGCCACTATGCACCTTCTAAGGCAGATTTTTGGCGAACGTTTAATTTCGAGAAATTCAGGATTCAATTGGCCCGCCCGCTCGCCGGACTTAACAGCCCCTGATTATTTCCTTTGGGGATATCTGAAAGGAAAAGTGTATATTAATAAACCCACAACCCTGCAGCAACTAAAAGATAATATTCGAGCAGAAGTAAGTGCTTTGGGGCCAGATATTCTGACTCGGGTAATGGAAAATGCTCTTGCAAGAGCTGCACTTTGCGAGGCTGAAAATGGCGGTCATTTGCGTGATGTAATCTTTCACACTTAAATTGTAAACAAACTCCAAACATTGCATTTTAGTTTTGTGTTAGGGAAAAAAATTAGAATTAAAATTTAAAAAAGTTATTAATTTTTCAAATCCCTTCGCGACTTTTGCCCCACCCTATTAGCATATTTAGATGGAACATTATTTGCAAATTCTCCTAGTACATTCCATGCATATTGGAGATTTACACATTATACAAACATGGAATGTTTTTCTCTCCTTCTTCGAGGGACAACGTCTACAAGTTGTTCTTGTATTCAGTTTATCACCTTCCATAGGATGTTCTTCTTGTTCCAGTTGTAGTATGCGTCTTATAGATATTTTCATTTCACGACCAATACGCACACTTTGATATCGGCGTTGCATATGTGGAGTTACCAAAAGCATTGCTAACTGTTTTCCAAAATGATAGCGGTTTATTTCTGGATTATCTCGGTATGACTGATGTAGAATATATGAATTTACAGACGCTATATCTATAAATCTAACAAAATGGCCATGGGCCATTGGCGAGTTCTACGACTTGAAGAATAAAGACTGCACTTTTGGTCCAGGCTATCCACTCCACCTTCAGTAGTGTTGTAAAAACTGATAATTTCTGGCTTACCAGTCTCAACATCGGTATTTTTATTGTGGTGCATGGAGATCATTATTACTGCTCTATTTCTTTTAGGTACAAAAGATAACATGGTTGAATCAGTGGTAAATCCATAGATGCTGTAACCAATATCTCTTTTTCTATTTGGCAAAAATGTAGGAGGAATCTCACCTGTATTTTTAAGTCTTCCGACAAAAGTTAGATTTTTGTTTTCAGAAAATTTACCAGCTCTTTTGAGGAAAACCAGTTACTGGCTGTAATATTTCTGTTTGTGTTATAAATAGGTTTGGCAAGTCTGAGTACCGCCTGAGTGGTTTCGAGAATTTTCGTTCCTCATCTGTTTACAGATAGCCATCAGAATTCTTTCCAGAATATGTATAAGCATTCAAGAGGTATCCAGTTCTGGCATCCGTTAGACACATAACTTTTAGATGTCATTGTAGATGTCATTTCTTTTAAGTCCCGGGCATTTAACAACAATGTTCTGTTGTAACGTGCGTGTATTCTTGGGAACTGGAGAATCCTTGCACCATTTAAAGCGATTCTTACCATAAACGTAGTTACCACCGGGACCATTTTCTGGATTTTCAATTTCACCTAGATTTTCGTTGTCCTCTTCGTCGAATTCAACATCCGACTCAGTGTCATGATCCGATAGTATATAGTCGCCATCTGATTCGATATCGCTTCCACCAGAATCGACTTCCTCTGCCCATTTCAGTAAAGTAGCTTCAAAATCAGCATCTCCATATTTTACTCTGTTTGAGGGCCCAGAATTAGAGTCCATACTCAATTTATAAGGCTAAAAACATCAGAAAAATAATAATTCAACATATCCAAATTATTACGTTTATACAGACCTCCGGTATTTTTTACCGGTTGCGAACTTTGAACTACGATATTTCGCTTGCTTCAAGTAATACACTCTCCATCCACCGGCTAATAGCATCAAACTAAGTGTTAGGAAGGTATGTAGAAGCTTATAAGCGATAGTGGTGGGGATGCGATGAATTTCAGCAGTTGAAATTTGCAGCCGGTCATTTTGACCGGATGTCTGTGGTTAAGGGTTAACCATTGAAGTTAAATATAATAAATATATTTTTCCGTATATTTCATTGGAGACAACAAATTATGGACAAACCTATGATCGGAAGATGCATCAATTTTGTGTATTTTCGATTTCGATAGGATGACTATTTTTTATTATCATTCAATTCAATTAACTCAACTCTGAATGTACACACACATACTTATAGCCCTTCCATTATAAGTAATTGGAAACGCAAAAAATCCCTGAGCTGTACAAAAAAGATGTGAAGTCCTGTGCAGATCAGTTGTACAGCAGAGCATACTGCCGTGTCTACACGTCAAGCTAACGTACACCGATGGATTGAGACTAGGACTAGACCAATGGGCATTATTGGTTGCCACAGCGAGGTGCAGAGAAGACATCGTCAAATGCTAATCACGATCGGCCATTATCTATTCTTTACATATTTGCGTTGGCGTATGTTAGCCCAACGTATAGACGCGACTCAAGAACTGCTGAATCTCTTATCATGGTCGTAGATCAACAACTACCGGTGGTCAAACTGATTTGCGAGGATGATTATTAAAATAACGTGGAGCCTCGAACACGAGTCTTTTGATGACTCATTGGGCTTTTACATCCTGTAATGTATCCTTATCATTGCCACTCATTTATATACACGTTCACAACTTTTTTGCAGCTCAGGCTTTTTTGTCGTTGTTCCAAATCTAAATGAAAATACTATACCTCACTTATCCTGTCAATCGGTAAGTGGCTGAAGGGAAATTACTGCATCTTGTACTCTACTTAAGCGCATGAATTTCAAAAATTCATTTATATGCATACGTCGGTGAACGCCACAACTACAAACGAGCCTATTATTCGAAATCGACTGGCCTATCACTGAGAGTGAGGCACTGAGAATTTCGAAATATTAAAACAGGATCATTCGCGTCAACGGTGCGGCGGCTGGTGATCTGTCTACGCGCGCACTTGTCCCCGCAAGCCCCTCACCCCTAAACTATCAGCAAGCTGTAGCGCGAAAACTAAGCAGTTTAGCAAAAATTTGCAGATCTCTCTTGATGGCCCAAAAATTAGAAAAAATTGCGTGTAAAAGGTTTTTTTGGGTTTCTTCAGATATTTAACTGGACTATTTGTGCAGTTGGTCAGAAAGTTCGTCACTATTTGATATTACATGAGGCATTTTGAACTGACTTTCATTGCGAGTTGACGCAGTCAACCGATGAAGCTACTTATACAGGGTGACTTTGAAGTTGAGTCATTAATTTTCAGATAGTGATTGTAGAAGGAAGATAAACCAAAATATGTGTGTAAAAATAAAAAAAAAATTAAAAAAAATTGTTTTACCTTGTTTTATAAAGTATCCTCCCGACAAGTATTTCAGTGCGGACCTGTATTTGATCGTGAGGTCTTGGAGCACCGGCATGCAGTCTTCTGTGAGGTCTTAAGTCACCTGATTCACGAGCCCGTTGTACTACATTAACAAAGGCAAGAGGGGTTGGTTGCACTCGATTGGGAAACCGATCTGCATAAATATGTGCCATTTTTTATTTCGTTTGAGCCACGCAGCTATCACCGCTATTCACTCACGCGTTACCGACTGACACAGACTGAATAAAAACATCGTGATCAGGGTTTCAAATTCTTTCGCTTTTTTGTTTCCGATGCGATGAACCGATAAGGCGGAGTATATCCGTTGTCGCCAAACACGAGCACATAATATTATTATTGAGACAGGGCGGTACTCAAACTTCTAAAGGGCTATAACTTTGTTACTTTAATTTTACCACAAAAATGTTAAAGGAAAAAACATTTCTTTTGATCAGATCTACTCACTGTTAAAATAAACGACTCAACTTCGAAGTCACCCTGTATAGTGATGCTAATGATGCCTTCACGCCTATTTAATCGGGCTTCAAGCGTGTTGAATATGAAGGTATCTGCCACTAGCGGATAGGTAGGTATTTCGAAATTAGCTTTTGTCGTTTAGATCGAAAACGAAATTGCTTAACTGCAAAATGTAATTGATATCTATTGACTGGGTGTATTATAACTGGTTATAGTAAGCGTGATGAGAGACAATAGTGGATAGTTGTTGATATGACGAAGTTTTAAAATACGAATATGATTTTTGCAATTGTATAAAACTGCGTAAAAACGGTACTAAGAAAGTCGCGCGTTAAAGTATTTAATCCATTGTTTTATATCGGTGCCAAGTTTTTTTTTTTCTATAGCTTTACAGAGTTTATACTGAAAGTATAATTAGGTAACTAGTTGAAAAGTACAATATGATTAATTTTTGGGCCCAGTCCAAAATTTGTGCAACCTGAAATTGCAGCAGATTCGAACAGATAGAAAATACACTATTTCTGCCAAGGACAGAAGGGAGAATCCAGTAAATAATCCAAGAAGGCCCCCAAAGTTAGCCAAAAAATCAATTGGTCCATATAATTCGTTTCTTTCCAGTGTCAGAAAGAAGTCTTCTTTGAAAAATATTGACAATCTGGCATATCGATACCTGAAATGATTAAGTTATTGTTAGCAATGTACAATTTCAAGCAAATGTTCACATACAATTTACGAGCAACTTAGTTATTTGATCAACTATGGTGAATTTGCTGATAGTTCTGCCAGTGAAAGGTTAAAGTTTAAATACTTGATAAAAAACAGAATGTTGGTCACTCCCTTGTGAGCTGCGTTACATTTCTCTGTTTCATGATTCTTCTTATTGAATTGAACATTGCATTTTCATATACATGTTCATTTAAAAACTTTCCACCACGGATTTGACGAGAACCACTAACTCAAAGAAGAAACGCCGAGACATCTCAAAAGATTTGTCAATAGAGACAAATTTTTAGCCAAAAACTATTTCACACCCTTTCACTCTCGGTTCCCCAGGGTCATTCCCTTGAAAACTTTAAATGGCAAGTGGTATCGAGCAATAGCTTGTTTGAAAGGCCTTTAGATGTCCTTTATTTTGAGGTTTGATTGGTTTCAAATTTGCCATATCTACATTTTGTTTATAATTTAAAACGAAATCTACCAACATAAACAGCAATTCGGAAGATTAGATGTGGCAACAACCAGATAACAACCCGAATTTCTTCCGCGTTCTTTTCATCAACACAGATATCCTGGGCGAACTGAATTTATTGGCCCTAATGAACCAAAATGTAGGAATTGCTTTGTCTTACAAAATTGAAGGAAAAGCTTAAAAACCTATTAATAAAAATCTGAGTAATTGCTTTTGCCTTCAGCAATTGCTTAAAGTTGCAGCAATTGCTTTTAGATAAAGCTTTTTCTGAAAAAACACCAGCTATTGCTTAAACATGCTTAAAATGGGATGAATAAAACACGCACTTGCTTTTTCTAGTGTAGTAATTGCTATTAGATATTTAAAGTAGGTCGATCCCAGCTTGCATTTGCTTTTAGTGAAATTTTGTTCGTTCTACTACATATACGGATTGTTTTTACTGATCTGGAATTTGGTAGTTATGGCCGAATATATGAATATTCGTGTAAAAAAGTATACTGTATGCGTAAAGAGTGCCGAGACAATGATTTCCGAAAATTATATCTCTTTAATCGCGAAAATGTGGAGTGGTTAGCGCATTATTTTTTGGCTGACAGCGGTGAAAAGCGACGATGAGCACTATCAGCTGTGAATAAGATGAACATTTTTCTGCGTCAGTTGTCAGACCCTGGCTTGCTTTCAAAATGCCGTTGCTGAAGAGCTTGGTGTTTGTAAAACATATACTTCCGTCCTGAACGCCGTTTTGGAGAAGGTCAACATTTGGATTAAATTCCCCAAAAGTGCTGACGACTTTATGGATGCTAAACAACTGTGCTCGGAGAAATACCGTTTCCCAAATTCTATCGGCGCAATAGATTGTACGCATGTCAGGATTCCAAAGTTTGCTGAATTCGAATATATAAACAGAAAAGGATATCCTAGCATCAACATACAGGCAACTTGCAATGCCAAATAAATATTTACAAGTGTAGCCTGTCAATGGCCAGGCTCTGTACATGACAGCAGAATATCTAAAAATTCCAATATATTCAACATTCTTAAAAACAGCACCGAAGAATGTGTATTATTAGGGGATGATAGCTATTCTATATCCCCTTGGATTATGACTCCCTGGAGAAATCCAACAACCCCAGAACAGCAAAATTATAATAACGTTTTTTGTCGTGAACGAGCAATCATTGAACGATGCTTTGGGCAATTAAAAGCAAGATTTCCTGTCCTACAGTATAAAATCCGGAATAAATTAGAAAAAATACAATCGACAATAATTTCCTGCGTTGTTCTTCATAACATAGCTAAATGTTTAAATGATGAAGATTCTGATTACGTACATCATGAAGCTGATGCTGAAATTAACTTAGACAGTGTCAATTTAACTACAAATTTAATTCGTCAATTAGAATAACAAAAAAGGCAAATAGTGACTGAAATTATCATGTAAGTAATGACTGGTACTTATATTACGTGTAGGTTTACAATTAAAACAAATCAGAAATACTATACCGCTATTAAACAAATGGAAACAGAATAATATAATTCTTAGGTACCTATATTCAACTTAAATTCAGATTTTATTAGTTTTTGATACTCGATGTAAACCCAAATTAAAAATTAAATCCTAAATTAAATAATTAATAATAATTACAAGTTGTAATACATTTTTTCCTCCGGAAAAGTACTGTTTGGCATAAAGTTACCATCACCTTGCTTCTGTCTCTTAATGATTTCTTCTTGTTGCATTCGACATAATTTCAACTGCTGTAATAGAACTAATCGCTGCAACTTAGCAGTTTATAATTTTTGGGTTTCTTCAGTTTCTGGTAAATGTGACATCTTAACTTTCTTTGCAGGAATAGTAATTTCTTTTGCACTTGAGGGGGCCAGAGTGTCACTGATGGCCGAGGTGGAGGATTTAGCAAGTGTTATGCTTTCGTTGGCTCCAACAGAGACAGCACCTGAATGATTTATTTTGATGTTTAAAAAACCTACGATACAATAAAGTTTAATTTGCTTTACCCATTTTTTTGAAGATGGGATTCTTATGCACTTCCAACATTTCCTTTAACAACTTTTCCCAAGACTTATAGATTAGGTATAGCTTTATTGCCTGTCTTATTAATATCAAATTTCTTCTTTATTTCGGTCTCCATATTACTTATTTTTTTTGCTAACTGCTTTGTTGTAAGTGTACGTTATATTGTACTAAAATTTTTAAAATTTTAACTTGTGGAACTTGCGATTTATTAAGAACGATTTTATGTTGTTTTTATTTATGCACAAATAACAACTGCTTATCCATTTCTTCCTCATCATGGGATTCGTCACTTCCATTTGAATCAGCCATAATTTTCACTGCCTTTTTTTATTTTTTACCGAAAAATATGTTCCTAATCCCACCTACTAAGTTATGGCGAATGTAAGAAACTCGGAACTAAACTGAAATAAATGCGCGTATCGACTCCTAAACATAATTGCAAGTTTAAACGCGCTCAACACATACATATATAAGCAATTGCTTTTAAGATTCGGGAAATGCAGCATTTGCTTAAAAATATTATTCATTGCAAAATTTAGCAATTGCTTTTCCTTACAGCAATTGCTAGTTAAGCAATTGCTTTTGCCAAAAAGTATTTGCTTAAAGTAATTGCTTAGTTTTTATTCATTAGGCTCATTGTTATACTAGTTTAGTTATTTGTTGCGAAGATTCAGAAAGAATTTAATTTGCTGTCCGTTACCCTTGCGACAATCTTGTGATAGTGAAGATTAATTTGCCGAATCAGATTTTGCTTCCAAAATGGTTTAAACACTAGGCGAAAGAGTGGAAATGATTCTAATTTATGGTGCCCAAAATCAATGTGCTCTGCAAACTTCGTCACGTTTGACGCCAGACATCCGGGGAAGATAACTTCGCATAATTATGTATGTTTTGGACCTTGTCACTACATTTACTCAAACTCGATCTGCTGCAACTAAAAAACGTGATCATCTGAGAGTCTTGGATAAAGCCATTCAAGATGAGGTTTTGGGTCATTTTGGAATAAATCCTAATACTTCATTAGGCAAAATTGTTGCTGCGACTGAGATTTTCTTGGGCTCTGTACGCACACTTACTAAACCCCATTGATTTCATCCATTAAAATTGTATATATTGCAAGAGTTACCGAAGATGATTTCGAAAGGCGAGTTGAGCTTTTTGAACAAATGACTGCATGCGATTAATGATAATACCATTCATGTAAAGAATATCTGCTTCAGTAATGAATGAACATTTTATCTAAATGGATTTGTTAATAAGCGGAACTGCAGGTATTGGAGCAATGAAAATCCTGATCCTGTTGTAGATGGTCATACCCAGTTCCCCCAAAGGAATAATGTATGGACAGGCATTTCAGGAAAAAAAGTGATTGGGCCATTGTTTGTCAATGGAAAGTTGAATGGAGGCATTTATGTGGATATGTTGGAGAATACCCTGAATCCGATTATCACTGAAACCATTGAAAAACAAATCAAAGGTGATGAGGCACTATGTACTTCCAATTCGGCAGTCGCCAGATGACGAGTTTCCAGATAACTGGATAGGACGAAGAGGGCCTACATAACGGCCTGATAAATCTCCTGATTCGAGGCGATTAGACTTTTTTCTACGGGGCCATTTGGTATCTATTGAATTTACTCCCAACCAACGATAGGATGAGCTTCATCAACCCATCATCGAAAGCTGCCATGATATCCCATAACATGTTTCTGAAAATGCCCGTCAGGAATTTGAACATCGCCTATATCATTGTTTGGCGAATAATGGGCAACATATCGAACACTTATTGAGACAAAAAGTAATAGTTTTGTGTGTTTTTGTTTTCTATCTGAACAAATTAAGATAAATAAATGTTTTTCTAATTTTCTTGAAAACGAATCGACCGATTTTAAAAAATCAAACGTCATAAAAAGAACTTTCAAACAAGCTATTACTCGATACTCCTGGTCAGTTAAATTTTTGAAGGGGATGACCCTGGGGGCAGAAGGTGAAAAGATGTGAGGAGGTTTTTGGTTAAAAAGTTGTCAAATACCTTTTGACGTGTCTGGGCGTTTTTTCTTTTAATCAGTGGTTTCGATAAATCCGTGGTGGAAAGTTCTCAAATGAACACCCTGTATGTAAGTCATCAATAACAATGTTTACAAATGAGTACGTTCAACTATACTGTGATTGTCTGTTTTGGAGATTTTCTCTGTTCGATGTCCCTAATTTGTTAAATAAATTAATAAATAGGCATACCCTTGATTTAAGCAAACAGCCTCACTACACACTCTTTTTGTAATGCATTAAATGTATGTTTTATATTTCATTACATACTATCTGCATAAAAAAATACAAAGCAGTATTATTTCAGTGAATGGACCGTATATCGGGAGTAGGGACATAACAGAGGTTATGTGCAGCTAATTCAGTGAGATTTTAAAATAAAAATTAATACCTGCCTATAAATATCACTCGTTCTCAACTGTAATGTAAACATATTTTAATCAAATTGACTAAATTATCATTGTGAGAAGCTTAGAAAATGGCCTTACAGCTATAGACATCTTCGTCTCTCTCGGCATCAGTCGACTGCCAATTCACAGAGATCGTTGATTTTAAATGATACAGAAAATAAGATTGCGTATAGATTTTTGTAAAATTTATAAGGATTTTATCATTTTCACTTTTCAATGGGAATAAGGCAGCTATGGACTCTCACGAAGCTTCTGACATTTGTCTTATGCATCTTTAAAGGTATATGGTTGTATTTTCGTGTTGTGTACGATCAGGACAAAAAACTAACAACGCGGATGAACAAGAGGTACATACGATTCTTTTTTTTTATCTCTGAAGCGAGCTAGCGGCATATACCCGTAATTCCAGGCATACTGGCTGAGCTGCACTTCATAATTTATCTCCACACAAGATCGTCTGCAGTCACAGAAAGACGTGTCGTTTTGATTAGTTGCGGTATGCTGGGTTTCCTTTTGTTTAAGCACGGCTACAAAGAGATGTTAAAAATACTATGTTCCTGTTCACTCCATTCCATACTTACAATTCCATTGCATCTGTACACGGTTGGTGAAGTGGCAAATATGAGACATTCCGCAGATATCGGTGGACGATTTCTCTGAAAAGACACGTGAGAGCTCTTAATGAAGCTGTTCCTACTTTTCTTTATACACAAGCAGCCGCGTAGATAGAAGCCTAAAATACGGGGACACCACGCCTGCTATGAGTAGCTTGAAGACACCTTGATCAACCCGATACTCTAGATACAAAGGGCCAGTCGTTTGGGGCAGTTCTACATATACGATGTTGGACACGGCTAGGACAAGACGCCAAAGTCAGGCGAGTTTATCAGCAGCATCATGGAGGAGAGTGCTGAGGAGAAACGCTCCTTGAGAAAGTGGTTGAAGAGATCCAGATCGCCGAAGGCTCGTCAGTGCGAAACGGTTCCGAGGCTGTCTGTTAGAGAGGAGTAATCGGTCAGTCGGATAGCCTTCCTATGAACAGCATCGATCATGGACAGCAACTTCTTTAACATGTGAGTAATACTCAAGGCTGGGTCTTATCTGGGCCTTGTAGAGCGTGCGGAAGTTATGAGTTAGCTCTAAACAAGTAGTTTTGCCCTTTCCCAGCAGCTGCCGCGATTGACGACACGTATTCGTGCCAGATCAAATCCTTAACTTGGACACAGACGAGCCGAAATGGTTCACAGCAAAGTCTTGGATTGGATTGAACGTATAACAAGGGAAGGCATTGATATGCAATATAAACTATGCTAGAGCCTAGATCCGGATCCCTGGTGACCAACCGAGTTGACATTGTGGGATCATGAAGTGAAACTGTCAATTACGACGGGTATCTCGTGGCCAGAAAGGAATTCGGACATCCCGATGATCGGTGGATATGAAAGCTTGTTGCTAATCGAGCTGTGATGCTCAAGATACTCCAGATGCTCCCGACTCATGTACCTCTCTATCATCAAAAGCAGACCTATAGGTCTGTAGTTGTAAGGGTCTGACCTAGATTCTTTGATGGGACAGGCTGGACATGAGCAAATTTCCAATTTTCTGCAAAGTATCGGATCCGGAAAATATCTGGAAGATACTTGGAAGAACCTGAGCAAGCTCCGCTGCACGTCTCTTCAGTAAAACGGCAGCAGTTGTGGAAAGGCCATGTTGAAACCGGGCAACAAAAACATCCGCCTTACTGTGCTATGCCTAAAGCTTACCTCCCATACAGAGCAGGAACACTCAAGCGTTGGGAAGTGGCGTCCATGGCGGACTTTGCCGCAAAGATCATGACAAGCACATCCGCCTTAGTCAGTTACAATCGTTCCATCTTGGCACGTAAGCAGTGGAAGGCTACTCTTTGGGAAGTTCCCTTCAATTTGCTTGGCCAGCGTCCTGAAAGACCGAGTGCCACTGTGCTGCGACATTACCCTGTGCCTAAATTTTGCATCATTCTGGTCTTTGACATTGCGATTTGCATCGACTTAGTTTCTACAGACATCGGCTTGTCTGTTCTATGTGCACAATTTATTGAACTACCTGTTATACTTGGGTACTTTCATTCTATGAAGGATGTATTCCTCCATCCCAAAGTTGATAATTTCATTTATTGAATTAAATTTTAAATGCTTTTGTAATCTATTTTGTAATGATCATTTTTCGTTTAAAATTCAGTGCAGGATCATTTAATACTTACTGGGCATGTAGAACCGTACACATTCACATATCTTTGCCGTATAGTTTGTGTAACATTCCAGGCGACAGTTACTTGACGTGTACTGCTTGAAGTATCTTAGATACTTCTCGTTACTGAAATAGCATTCCCTTTTGTCAGGATGGTACTTTCTCACTTGTTGAGAGGTTTTTGTCATTTTTGGCTGCACAGCAGCCATAATAGCATCACCGAATGGTACTTGAAAGAACTGTTTTTCTAATTGGGGTATCACGTGAGGAGCATGCAGTGAAACCTGAAATTAGACAGTCACCAATTAGAAGAAAAAATTCAGAAGACCATTTTATAGACCGATTTTACACCACAAGATTTAACTTATCAAGCCTACTGTCGAGGAAGCATTGTAATCGCGAAAAATGTCGATAATGATATATTATATAGGCTTTGGTGTAATGCAAAAGCATCTCATTTCCGGCGATATGTCTTCCTGTGTCTAGGTCTGTCTGCAAATCAATGGCCCATCTATAACTTGTAAAGTAGTGCGCTCATTTGAATAAAATTTTCACGCAAGGCTACTACCATGCCAAAAAAGAAAAGGCTTTACATATTTTGAAATCGATCCACTGACAGTGGAGCTGCAGGCAAAGAGGAAGGCAACAAAAATCGCTGAAACTCCGTTTCTTTGACGTTTCAGAGGGAGGTTTTAGGTTGTAGGTTGTAATTCTCAGGATCAAGTTCAAGGTCACTATTTGAAGTCCTTACTTCAATGTTAGTATAGACACCCTAACCTTGTTAGTCAAGGATCAATACTGTTTTGGAAGCATTTAACAGCTTGCTGAGATGGACATCCTGCGACCAGAGAAGAAGTCAGCCACCCATCTGCAAAGCTTCTCAAGGAGTCTACAGGATGGGAGTTTGCATCACAAGGCATCATGTCACAGCTAATTTGTTAGACCTAGTCTTTAGAGCTTTTGGAACAAGGTGTAACCGAATATAAAGATTGTATTTAGTCGCATGCCTCGTGGACGTCTATACATGTTCGGTGCTATTTGATCGTTGATTTCGATGCGAGAGAAATATACCACAAAGGGCTAACTCAAGGCACCGATAGCTAATACCGTTGGTTAACGTATACTACCTGAAACTAGCTAATCATATTTGGTGTCCAAAGAATTATCCGTCATCAAATGGCGTCATCTTTGAGAACTTGTCAAAACTTTGTTTTTTTCTCTCTGGGATAATTATGAATCTGCTTTGGCGACGCAGCCAACTATATGCGCATATATTAGTAGTATATATAAATTTAGCAAAAATCGCTATCTGACATGAGGAATTGCCATCAAACAGTTGCAATTGCAGTCATGCAACGAGGGGGCGGATCGAAGTTCCAAAAAGATAAAAAATCTTGATCCATACAAACACTATACCAACCTCTGGTAATAACTGGAAATCCAATGTACCAAGAAGTCTGCAATCAAATGATGAAATGATGAATTTGCTTGGTAGTAACACCGTAGACGGAATACTCATAGGTGATAACACTAATAAACACAGGATTTGTGACATGACAGTTTTTGGGTATAGCTCATGTATTTTGAGACCCTTAAATCAAATCTAAAAGTATAATTATTTTATCACCCACAGATATTCGGTAACATCTACTTTTATGAGTTTAAATACGCAACATTTCATATTGCTGCATTTCTCGGCGTTTATGCGATGACGCACATGTACAATGGTAAGACCTATCTACTCCTGTTTATTACATGCGAGCTCTACGTTTAGAGAGCATATTGCTTTTATTAGTAGTTAGAGTCAGTTACGTTTTCTACGTTGAAGAGTACTGAGACGTTCTGAGTACTGTTAGTTTTTGTTAAAACGGTGTGTTGTTTTTAGTTTATTGTGATCGAGGCTAGCTTTATGGACAATACCTAAAAAATGTGTAAATAGTGCGAATAGTTTTTGGTATGTGTGCCAAGAGCTAACTTTTAAATTCCAGAAACCTACTTTTACTCCCCTTGTGTTGAAAGCATACGGACTTTATTTTGGAATAAGGTTGGCGACGAAGATCAACTATGGGCCCCCAGTACGTAAGACTTGTGCAACGTTGTTAACTGGTTGGTTAAGAGGCGCAAAATGCCCTTTGCGGTACCAATGGTTTGGAGAGAACCGAGAGACCATACTACTGATTGCTATTTTTGCCTCACAAATATTAAACTTATTGGATCAAAATCGAAACATACTGTTAAGTATTTTAATTTACCATCAGCTTTGCGGCCTGTTAAGCATAGTAATGCACCTTCTGTCCCAGTTCCACCAGAATTTTGATCTTTGGATGAAAAAGTCGAATCCACCGATTCTGAAAGTGATGTTACAGAAAGCGTAAAAATTTCGGATCCTTCGTTTGACCTGCTAAGATGTTCAACAGCGCCACATTGGATCACATAGGGCGGACCTAATGACTTAGTTTGAGAATTAAATCTGTCAAAATCCCAGTCAGAACTTTTAAAGTCAAGATTAACAGGATGGAATCTTCTCCACGGTGATGTTAACATTACTTTTTACCGAAAACGGCAACAAAACCTCACACAGTGTTTCCTTCAAGAAAGGAAATTGACATATTGCTCCGATGTCAACAATTTGTTCGACGCGTTAGGATAGAAACATGATCCAAATGATTGGCGCCTGTTCTTCATTGATTTCTCTAAGCTTAGTTTAAAAGCGGTATTGGTACGCAACGGTAATAAATATCCATCTGTACCTACAGCGCACGCAGTTCATACGAAGGATTCATATGAAAATGTGTGAGTTCTGTTAGAGCATATCCGTTATAATGAATATGGATGGGCCGTATGTGCAGATTTAAAGGTAATAGCCCTTCTTCTTGGAACGCAACTGGGTTATACCAAATATTGTTGTTTTCTTTGAGAATGGGACAGTCGTGCGCGAGATCGTCATTATGAAAAAAAGGAGTGGCCACTACGTCAAGTATTCACTACGGGCCTCCAGAACATAGCTCATGAACCACTAGTTGATCCCAAAAACGTGTTGCTTCCACCATTGCATATTAAGTTGGGACTGATGAAAAATTTTGAGAAAGCTATGAACCGAAATAGAAAAGGGTTTCTGCATTTAAAGCACACATTTCGGAGACTTAGTGAGGCGAAAAATAAGGAGGACATATTTGTGGAGAACCATGAAGGATGATGTATTTGACAGTGCTCTAAATGAAGCTGAATTACGAGCTTGGAATACTTTTAAATCAGGTACCCCAAATTTTTCAGGTAATGTGAAGGCGGACAATTATAAAGGTAATGTGAGTGAACTAATTAATGCTTATAAAGGAATGGGATGTAACATGTCTCTAAAAATGCACTTTTTGATTGTCATCTTGATTTTTTTCCGGAAAATTTAGGTGCGGTAAGTAATGAACATGGTGAACGATTCCACCAAGGCATTTCTGCTATAGAAAAACGGTATCAAGGCAAATGGAGTGTCAATTTGCTTGCTGATTATTGCTGGACATTGTTAAGTGATACTTCAGGAGCAACATATCGCCGTACAACATCGACAACAACATTATGAGATTAATGTTTATTCGAGTGTTTATTAGTACTCTTACACGCATATCCTTATATTTTACGAGTATAAGCAGCAAATAAAATTCCTTATTGCAAGAAAACCGAATGCTCTTTCCGGCTTTTTGGGTACGTTTTATATAATAACCACCTTCTTTTGTCAATGTCACAAAAAATTATTTTAATTTTGTTCAGCACTGTAATTATTTACACATATAACCGACTACTGTTTAGAGAGGGAGGGATATTTTTTCCCAGATCAGTGAAAACACGCTATAGGTGTTCCGCTACCAAAGTGTTCTGATTCTACTAAGGCCAACTGAGACCGATCAGTTTACTGCCTATTTTCTCAAAAGTATTTATTAGCAGCTGTGCACCTGCTTATATTCTAACAAAATTATACCATCTAAACAGTCTGGATTTCGACAACGACATTATACAGCTTCGGCACTTTGTGATTTAACAGTCAATATAACAATGGCGCTTTGTAACCAAATTGCAGTAACTCTTATACTTCTTGACTTTGCCAAAGCATTTAATACAATTAATCATACTTCTAGTGTCTAAATGCAGTTATTGTGGATTTTCTGAAAAACTTCTTCCGCTTACCCAAACTATCTTGAAAATTGGTTTCAAAAAGTTCATCTAAATCAACAGTACTCTACCGCACAGAAAATTTATTCTGGTATAACACAAGGGCCCTTGTTATTTTCCTTTTATACTTATATCAGATTTATGAACAGAGGTAAAATCATGCAGCATACATTTTTTGCAGGCGATACTAAGACTTTCTATTCATTTACAGGTAATGACTTGCAAACACCTAATAGTAAAATTAATCAAGATCTTGCCCAAACTGAAAAGATTAGCAGTAGTTATAATCTTCGTCTAAGTCCTTTAAAAACAATTATGTTGGTGGACGCAAATAAAACATAAAGGAGCGCCTTAAAAAAGTACATCAATATAAATTTAAAAAGTAATAAAATAGTATCTGTGGATGATTCGATGAACCAAGGTATCATAGTGGATGATGACTTAAAATTTGTCGAACACGTAAGCCATCTAATTTCTCAGTGCTACGCTATTCTCAGAGTTTTATTGCAAATAAGGCTATATTACATAAAACTGCGAGAAAGCAGTATTGTGTGAATCTTTCTTGTTTTCAAAAATATGATATTGTTTTGTGGCTTACTATCATCCATATTTATATACTAGGACAAGAAATCGTAGTCAAAGTATTACGAATACATGCTTGCAGACTTGTAAACCTACCATCTCAGGGGTAGATCTGAGGGGTTACACATACAGACATATTTATTATAAATAACAGGTTAATATGCAGACAAATGGTGAATATTGATTTATACACATATAAACACGCAGATATGAAAAAGTAAGTATGAAACGTTCCTTTTGTGCCTATTACTGATGTTTTTATCGTTACTCTTCCAGAATAGCATTTTGTTCTTCTGTAATGTTCGCAGAAAGTGTGGCGGTAAGTTCTTATGCTTAAATTTTGAATAGGTTCCTGATGGAGAAATCATTAGCAAAGCATCCTCTGATGATGCTTGGAATTGAAAACTGTAGGCGTTTGCGGTGATACTTTGGGCACTCCAGAATGAGATGGTCTATTGTAAGAACGCAGTGACACTCCTCGCATAGGGGTGGTCTTTGTCCGACCAGAAAACGCTATGACGTTAAACGGGTGCGTCCAATTCTCAGCCTCGTCAAGCAAACCTGCTCACGTCTGCTGAGGCCTGTTGGGTATTTCCATTTTTCTACAGATGGCTGTATGTTCTGCATGTGGCTTGATCTTTGCATCCATTGGTTTTGCTACGTTTGTTTTAAGCAGACTTTCAGGAGTACACTTGAAGTCCTCCGTTGGCATGGTATCCACAGGAGTACCATTTTGAATTGCATCGCGTTGCTCCGAGTCAGCTTGCTCATTACCAGGAATGTTAACATGGCCTGGTGTCCAAAAAAATACTACTGTCGTTGACCGTTGCCTGAGACTATTACGCTGATCATTTATTTGAAGAATCAATGGATGTTTTGAACTCCTACTTGTTATGGCTTGATGGGTATTCAAGGAGTCCGTACATACAAGGTAAGTTTCAGTAGCAGCGTTCATATTAAGAAGGTACTTCAGAGCTTCTGATATAGCATGCAATTCAGCTGTAAATATGGACGTGAGTTGATGCAGATAGAATTGAAAAGACTGGCTGGAGGTTATAAATGTGGATCCAACTCCGTCTTCACTTTTAGCCCCATCTGTATAAATGACCTCTAAAGGACTGTATCGGTTTATTATTTCCTCTACTATACGATTGTACACGTGTCCAGGCGTTAATGATTTCATATAAGCAGAGCAGTCTAGGACAACGTTTAACTTGATCCTGCGCTCCTGGACGAGTTTCACTAGGACCTATGCTAAATACATCTGGTCGTTCAATATCGAGTTCGTTTAATACCTGTGATGCCCTGGCACCGACCGGCTTGGTTATAGTTGGTCTTGCAATATAAACGAGTATGTCAATGTGAGCGTCATTGAACATAAGCTCGTAACTTGGGTGAGATTGTTGGGCCTGAATATCGGTAGCATAATTTAATGTTACCTAGGAGATCCATAAGTAAGTAAATAGAGCTGGATGGGCTAGTACGGAAGGCACCGATTAATAGTCTTAGGCCCTCTCGGTGGATAACTTCGAGAACATGTAGGCGAGTTCTTTTAGCGGACGCAAAGGCTACAATACCATACTCTATTTTGAACATAACTAATGATTTATGCAGCACCAGTAGTACCACTCTACTGGCACCCCACATGATGCTGGATGTACATCTGATAATATTGAGTGCATATTTGCATTTCAGTGCTAAGGAGTCGACTTGCCCTTTCCATAATAACCGGTCGAAAATTACTCCTAGGATACGATGTGATTCTTTGAAAAACTTAGCATCTCCGTACAAGTTTAATATAGGATCTCGATGCGGTGTTCTGAGCCTGCAGAAATGTAGTGCAACGGTTTTTGATTTTGAAAATGCAAGCCCGTTCTTTTTGGCGGTGTTGGATGGCGTATCTATCACAGGTTGAGGGGTGTCGAGGCAATTTATTATTATTATTATTATTACATTTTTTGTATGGTACACTACTCAGTATACCCATTTTCGCTTGTTAGCATTCCGTCATCTGTTTCCAAATTTCTGTACCTATACCGTACTGATGATTACTAAAATGTATGAAACAACATTATATATAGTTGGTTATGCTCGAAAAGATGGAAAGCATTCTATTTAGTTATATGATAAATATTTTTTCGTGCATAGAATCACGGACCACAACCAGAAGAGCACTACCGTACTTACTTTAAAGCCTTGTGAATTTGGTGAGCAAAAGTAGTCCAATTCGCTAGCTAATTGCCTAAACTTGATGTGCAAGCCATTCTCATATCCAGACAGATATGCGTTATTTGGGTAATTCAAAAACGAGCCATCAGGTGTACTATCGTTGAAGGTATATCCACTGTCAATGTCCCAATTCACCGTATTTTCATTTTTGTGGTAATCCTTGAATCGATACCTGCAAATAGGCAATACGTAGTTTTGTATTAATTTATCAGGATTTCTCGTTTGTCAGGGCTGAATAAAATCAAAAATTTTGGAAAAAAAATACATTTGTTCATTTTATCAGCTTACCAGCCGAGTATGTGAAGAGAATACTATTGAAGAAGTGCCACAAAAATGTCAAGCGGGGTTAGCTCGTGCGGTCCCACAAGGCATTGTCATTTTTATATCAACCACAACTAGATCTGCTTGCTAAAATAATTCAGCTATAGTCACCAGGCGCAAACTGGTTACTATGCTGGAAATATTTCCATGAATTGCTCAGAATTGTTTTGAGATATTTTAAAAAACTATTCCCAATGTTATTATCAGGGGTCTATTTTTTCGTATAGGTACCTCGCAGAACAAGAACTTGTGACATTTTATAGTAATATGACGTTTATTGCCACAAAGTACAGGCACATCCTAAATATCGTGCACAACAAACATAAAGCACCTAGAATGGCTTTTACTTATGCTTGGGTTTGTTAAAACTAAAACTGATCAATGACTGAAACATGTTATCATTATTTAATTTGGTAAATTGAATTATTATGGGAATATCAGGAAAAGTATCCAGACAATTATAACTAAAGTAAAAGTGTCAATGTTAGTGTATGTATGTAAAATATATATTATTGGTTTTGATAATGATCTTTCGTATCTACAGTTTCATGGATGGCGCATATTGGTTGTTGTAAAATCCATTTCTTGAGTTCTTTTTCAAACGATCTAATTACTTTTAATGACTCTTTTATGGAGTTATATAATTTTGGCCCCAAGAAAAAAAAAAGGGTTAATGTTACGATTCAAATGTTCCGAATGTTTGACGCACTAGACCACTACAAAAATAAATTTGTCTGCAATCTAATAGTCGAATAATGAAAAGTAAATATTTAGTAAGTTCGGCCGGTTTTATTTCTTAAATATCATTTCGTCACAAAAAATAATCGCATGGCATGAGGTCGGGTGACCTAAGAGGCCAGTGAATGTCTCCAAAGTTAGATATAACTTTTTGAGGAAACTGTGCTTCTACTGCGTCCTTAGATTCTCTGGAAGTGTGGTCAGTGATCCCATCCTGTTGAAACCATATGTTTCTGTTCTGTTTCAAACCATGGACTGATTTTTCGTCGTTATGCCATGCAGTATTGACCTAGGGATTCCCAAAGCAGCAGAATGCTTCCGAACAGAACGACGAGGATTTGCAATGGTCGAATCACTTACTGGACACACATTTTCCTTCGGTATATACAGTAGGTGTGGAGTCAGGAATGGGTTGACTAAGAGTAGAGCCCGTTTCACGGAATCTCTTAATACAGGGTCCGCCAAAGGAACCTGATGAGTTTCAATATGAAACTACAAATGTATCTTTCAAGATACTTATTTTCATATATAAGTAATCGAACGTGTATTACATGCCATTTTATGAATGGAAAATAACTTCGGTCAAATGATGTCCTTCACTGCGGACACACTCTTCCAAACGGTTTCGCACATTCCCCATTACGCGCTGTACCATACTCATCGGAATCGCGCTAATTGCATTGCGAATGTTTTCCTTCAATTCTTCAATGGTCCTTGGGCTCGTTAAATATACCTTGCTTTTGAGATAACCCCATAACCAATAGTCACAAGCCGTGAGATTGGGAGACCTTGCCTGCCAAGGAACATCTCCATTCCGCGAAATGACTCTTCCTGGAAACATTTCTCGCAGTTGAACCATTGTTGCTCGTGCTGTATGCGCTGTGGCGCCATCTTGCTGAAACCATACAGTATTTAAATCTATGTTCCGTCGACGAAGCTCTGGTTCCAAAAATGTGTTTAACATTTCCAGATAACGTTGCGAATTGACCGTGACAGAATTTCGAGCATCGTCCTCAAAAAAATAGGGTCCAATTATGCCGAATCGCGACACTCCGCACCAAACAGTAACCTTGAGACTATGAAGGGGTCGCTGGTGAAGTTCTCTCGGGTTTTCTGCACACCAGTAGCGAAAATTCTGCCTATTTACGTAGTCTGATAACTCGAAATGCGCCTCATCAGACATAATTAAGCCACCTAAAGCGTTTTCATCCAAAAGTTCCAGAAGCTGGTTGCTTGCAGTCAAACGGTTCACACAGTCTTCAGCTGTCAGTTCTTGAACCATCGCTAATTTGTAAGGGTGATAATGTAAATCCTTATGCAAAATACGCCGCGCTGTTGTTTCTGAAAGCCTTAGGCTAATTGCTTGTAGCCTAGCTGAACGACGTGGACTTTGCTGCACCGCTGTTCGCACCCTCTCAATATTGGCTGGAGTCCGAACTGTTCGACGCATTCTTGGTGGCTTAGCCTTCATTGCTGATGCAGACGAAAATTTTTGACCCACAACTTAATTGTGTTACGGCATGGAACAGAACCATGACGTCCGACATTGAAATGTTTACGAAATAGACGCTGTGTAATGATCACCGAGTCGTGATTTTTAAAATACGTCTCGACAACAAGTGCGCGATGTTGACTTGTCCACAGGTCCATGACTACTGAAATGGCATCTACTACCGATGTCTTGCCCACTGTAACCGATGTTATACGTAAAAAAAAAGTTCGTACTATCCATTCTGAAAACGTTAGGTTCCTTTGGCGGACCCTGTATAATTCCACGGAACCTCTTAATATAATTCCGAAGGGCAGCAGCGTAGGGATCACCACTATTAAAGTACGGCTCGTTAGCAAAACCACGTTGCGCTCCGGTCCAACGTTCCATTGTGACTGTTGAACCGGTACGCCCAACGCGTCGATTAAGAGCTCTCCCCACTTCCTCGCGTATACGGTTGCCGCGTAATTCAAATTTGAAGTGTAAACTTTCCCACTGAACACCCGCATTATGGCACTGGTTACTTTCATAGAGAATAGTGTTGCATCATCCGCAAAACCAATAACTTTACCCTCGTTACTTTTACTTACACTTCATCCCTGAAGATAGCTGTTCGATCCAGCATATTGTAAGTATAGCATATACCTTCATCTAGAATTATAGGTTGGAACAGATTTTCACAGGGTTCTGGGTCATTCTCTCCTACCTGACACTCTTCAGTGTACTCGCTAAGATTGAGTTTCATCTACAATAAGAATACATTTTTGTTTCAATGGCAGTGCTAATGGAAATTATTCACCCCTTTTACAATAAAATAATATTTACAAGAACCCTTTGATGGAGACTTCTTACAAAAAGATATAGTAGTAAAAATGATGCTACAGTAGATAGCGATTACGGGGTGCATAGTACGTAATAAAGCTTTTAGTATGAGGGTCATTTTTTAAGTAGTGATAACTTTTTTGTAATATCAGGCAGAGAAACTTTGTTTATGAACTTAAATTGTACCACAACCTAAAATACGCACATCTTGACATCTTTCAATATAGTCACCAAAAACGTTTCAACATCTGTCACCAGATTTTGTGTTGTCAAAAAACGCCGCCGTCTGACCATCAAACAAGTTAGTAACTGTTTTTTATCAACATGACATTTTTCAAGCGCTTGCCACCAAGAGATTCCTTAAGTTTTGGACAAAGATCTGATAGTGCTAAGTCAGAGCTGTACGGTGGATGATCCAGTCATTTCCAAAGGAGTTTGTCCAGTTGCGAGTGCGTCATTTCCATAACGTGAGGCTGAGCGTTGTCGTGAAGCAGAAGGATGCCGCTAGAGAGCAGGCTCCGCCGACGTCGGCGGCTTTGAATAGCAAGCTTCAACGAGTTACCGATTCATTTCAGCGGAACGAACTATGTTTGCATTTAAAAATCGAACTACACAGCGCACTGATTGACATGGCGACAAACAAAGCAGTATAATCACGTAACCAACACCGACAGAGACGTGAAGCGTACCGGTTGCATAGTGAGAGATTGGCCAAGGGTGTCTGAGGTTGAACGGACGGTGTGCGGGGCCCCGATGCGCAATCGTTCTCACCATAAAAGTGGCCCTCATACCAGTAATCTACCTGAAGATAGCCAACCATCTACTCCATTTGGGCATCCAAAAAAATATACTTGATCCACTCTGCTGTAATTTGAGCTACATTGAGACGGTTAATGTTTCATTGATGGCGCTGTGGCTATCCATATGCTCGTATATACTCACACAGTTGGCTATAGCGCCATCTAAGAGACACTCACCTATTTTAAATAGACTTCTCAATATTATGGGCACAAGAAATATGTCTGTGACCTAGGGTGATGAGCGCCTCCGTGTAGATTTTTTGGTGGATTTTTAAAACTGAATGCGATATTTGATTGAAACAACCAATAGCAAAAACAAAAATAAAATGACCGAAGTTAACCGTTACCAAATAAAACCATATAATTTACAGTACAAGTACAGCGAATACTCTCATATATCCATCTCATCTCCCAGTTGCAAAAACAGTCGCCTTCAGCATACGGACGTTTGTTTGAGTATATCCAAAGACAACTGCTGATTCTATAGAAAGCACAATAAAACTCTTTCTGAAGCGAAGGCCTGGCAAGGTTACTCTTGAGGTACTCAAGATCGCAAATCTGAAATCGTAATGCTACCAGTGATGGGAGTATTGTCTACGTCAGTGGTCGCCAACCTTTTCAGTGTGTTCAGCTACTTTGATGATAAGCAGTGAGCTATCTAGTCGTGAGCAATGTAAGCCAACTTACATGAAGTTATACGAGTACACAGTTGTATGCGATATACATGTGTTTATTTTACTGATACTAACTCATACTAATAAACTTAAGTAAACTAATGACTAATACTTACTACATAACTACATCCATTCCTACCAATAGTAGGTATTTGAAAGTATAAACAAAATTGTTCGTCAGCTACAATGGCATGTCACGTACGATTTAATAAGGTAGCAAAAAATAAAAATCAACGCACGATTTTAAACTGAAACATCGTTAAGTCGATTAAGGTATTTGTTTTCAATAAAATTCATATTTGAAAAAGAAGATTCACACAAATAGGTTGAACTAAATAACGCTTTCACTTTCAAGGCAACACGTCATAAAACTGAAGATTTTCCTTTATGTACTGAAGGCCAGATACATGTTGTATTTGAAATAGTGATTTTAAATCTGGATCATTTTGAAACCGCAATCATTTCCATTTCTGTCGCAGCGATGCGTAACAGAAGTTGGAAACTGTTGGATATCAATTTCCACTATAGCAATTTCGTTGAAATTATTGAAATGACTTTAGAAGTTATCCTCCAAGCTAGAGACTATTTCTAAATGATATTTACTGGCATATGGTTGAGATATCTTTTCTGAAAGAACAGGAAAATACATGGTATCACTATAGATTAAGTTTTGTTTCCAAAACACAAGCTTTTTGATAAACGCTTTGTCTCTCCCCTGAAGCTGCAAATTAAGTTCATTCAATTTTTCTGTAATATACACAGGAAAACCAAAATCTCTAAGCCAGATTTGATTTTTCAGTTCCGGAATCGGTTCAACACGTTTTTTGAAAAATTGTACTATGGCATACATGATATCATTAAAATGTTTCAGCACTCGTCCTTTTAGTGGAATAAACTTCGAAAGATTTTCTCTAATCCTAAAATCACTCAAACCATCCTGACGAGCACGGCCATCTGAAAGGTGTCAACGACGTCTTTGGATTCATCCAGCTGCAGTGAAAAATAAGCACAGTTATCGAAGTCATATCTTAAATGTAAAAGTATATCATTGCTCATTACTTCTACTCGTCTCATCACTGTATTAGCAGAAAATTGCATAGATTTTATAGCAGACCCTATCTCGTCTTTATTTCTAAAGTTGGCAAATAATAGATCTGCAGCTTCTAAAAACGCCTGTTTTATCATTTCCCCGTCTGCATAAGGTTTCTTCTCTTGTGTAATCATCTGGTATGATGCTTCATTTGCAGCCTTACTTTTGTTGATTGTTTTTAAAAACAGTGTCTATTGTCCAGTTAACTGATCTTTTAATTGTTTCAGTTCTTCCGTTCTGGTAGCAGAACGTAATGGGAATGATTTTTCAAAATTCGAATGCACAGTTTTATAGCGCCTTTTTAAGCAACGAAAACAGATGTACTACATAACAAACATACATGTTTACCTTTAACTTCTGTAAAGTAGTATTGTTCTTTCCATTCCGAATGGAAATGGCATGTCTTCATCTTCTTACTACTGCTCATAATGTAAATTGCAGGCCAACTCTAACCCGACCGCTGGAACTTGTGATGTTCAGCTTTGAGCTGAACAGATTGCTCACCGCAGTGTTGCCGCTGCTTGTGTTTATTATGAAAATTCACAAGATTTACGGTAGGTTCTATGATTTTTGCACCTTTTTAAAATGTGCTGTGAGCCACCAGAATTGTCTTTGCGAGCTACCGGTAGCTCGCCATCGACTGGTTGGCGACCACTGGTCTACGACATGTAAGATATACAACTGTCTAAGTGCAGACAATTGCATCTGCCTACATAGTAGACGAAGCAGATAAAGTAGACAATATACACAATCTACGTAATCTAGGTATCAGATGTCATTAACTTCAAATCAAGTTGCTCAAAAGCAATTCCTCAGCCTACCTGCTTATTGCTTTGCAATTACTACCTTCAGTATTCTCATCAAGTGTTGACAGTTATCTCGAACCTTTTCTTTTCTCTTATTTTTAACCACATAACAAATTATTTCTATGATGTGTAGCATATATTTGTTAATCTAATGAATCTTGTACGATTTTACGCTGCTCGGAGGGTATAAATCATGTTTTGAGGCCGTTGTATGCGCAATTCCAGGGAACTCAGCCTAAAACCCGTAGAACCTAGAGCATTCGGTTCTCATTAAAAATTATGAAACCGTCGTTGCGATAAGGCATAAGAAGTGGAATACTATTCTCGTACAATGATACTTACCTGATCAATTATTTTATTAAAGTCGTTAGACAATTTGCCCGAATCATAGAAGTATATTTGACTATAACGACATAGTAAGGCGAAGTATTGTGCATTACGCTTTCTGAAAAAGAATCAAACATGTCAAATGAAGTAAAAGAAATAATCTAGTATGTATATTGTTCTGTGGCTGCAGTTAACCTACAAAAATAATGTTAACAGAACGTGTGAAATAGAAGAAAAATAAAATGTTTGTATGTAGGATCCTGTTCTGACCAGACCCTGACTAGGTGACTGACTCGAAGGCTAGATCCGCCCTTACGAGCAATTCAAAATGATTATAGTTTTAGCCAACATTCTTGACGGTTACGTCATCAACGCCATATGAAATAAGTAAACAGATCGAGTCTGCGTACCATGGGCGGAACACTGCGCAGCCAATCTGCTACTCTCTCCATTACACATGAAGTGGCTATCAAGGGACCGCCGTTTTCATTCCCTTCCTGGAAATAGTCTAATAAATTTAACACGAGCTGTCGGCCTTCTCCATTGATCGTATTTCCGGGCACTGTACAATTTTATATTTAAGACTAATAACACGACAACTCGAGTTGCACGCCGATGTGTAAGTTGTCACTCTGACAAATAAGATATACGGGCACTCATACCTAACGACATGGTTTTCGAGTCTGAGACACACGACTAAAAAACGCATGTCTTTGAGCTTACCAGACAAAGGTTCACACACAGGAGTAGATTGCATGTGTATGTATGAGGGATATGGAGATATTTAAAGGGCTACTGGTAGTCTTACTTTGACCCGCCAAGAACGGTGACTACAACTATAGATAAAATATGGTCACATCGATCTAGTTCCCTATCAATTATGCCTTGCATGTTAGATACCCGTATTACTAGAACTTAGAATTATACGATTTCTGTAGAACCATAAAAAGATGTCTTACAATAGGCTTTGAACTCTGGTATGAAGTTGATTCACACTTGCAGATCCAGTTATCGTGTTGACATCTGCAAACATTGTCTATGTCACTCAGAGATGTGACGTGGGAAATCATTCACGTATAAGTTAAATAGCAGTAATCGAAGTATAAATTCCTAAGGGACGCCCTACCGAAAAGGATATGTTGCACCGGATGCAGTACTTTTAAGTTTTATGCTCTCCATGTATGAGATCAGCCCATTCAAAAACCTTTAATACCCACAGTATACAGGGTGCTTCAAATTCGACCCTCACCATTGTGATCTCTGAAACTGTAAGGGAGACGAAGTCGCTTAAGTGTGGGCAAAGTCGCGTATTTAGGTGATCTACAGAATGCCGCTTAGATAGTTTCGATATTCAAAGTAATTCCGGAGAGCGACAAAAAAAAAACGAATTTTCTCAGAATCATTTTAATTTCTTACTGACTGTGTATGTAGTTGAGTTTTCAAAGTCAATTGCACTTTAAAATTGCCACTTTTTCTGCTCTACAAGATGGCATAATTGAAATTTCAATACGACGTTTCCGTTTTTATCCTGAATAATTAATTTTATTTTTTCTTAGAGACGCCATACTGGATTTTTACACAGGTAAATATAGTTTTTAATTCTGATTCAAAAAATGTATGATACATATTAAATTTACGTTGCCAAACCTTAGTTAATTCAAAAAAGCAGAATTTTCTAGGTAGGTTTTGAAATTGACAGATTGTCAGCGGTCTAGGCAGTTTTTAGTGGGCGAATAGTTCATTCCACGTTTGCTCTCTGTAATCGCTGTTCGCTGACATTTAAGCAACACGTACAGCTACAGAATGAGTTCACGGCAAGTGTACAACAGCTTGTGCTAAGTTAACATCTTGTAGAAAAGCCTACATTATGTCACAAAAAGAATACGAAATATCAAAAAAAAACCTCTTCAAGATACGTAATACCCGTGCCGATTTATTCCAAAATCACTTGTTAATTATTCTTCTCTACAAGATGGCGTAGTAAATTTTTCTTTAGATATTGTTGCTCAAGCCGTACGCTTTGTAGTCGCAACTTTAAGGATACTACTCGTAACTGGGTACAAAAGCAGTGTTGGTATTTACAGTCTGTGACACTTAGTTTGTACCTTATTCATGATAACTGGCTAATTAAATAACTTACTCTTCAGGAGCTAGCCCTCTCATGGCTTTAAACCTATAAACGCCTCTAGTAAAATCGTAGACGGATTTTTTCGCTTTGGTCATAGGGCAAATAGTGACAGCTGGAAATGGGATCGTATATAACGGAGACTCTTTGGTTGCAAAGCTTACTATAACAGGGCTTGTTATGAATCTGTTGTATATCCTGCTGATCAGAAACCCACATGCTGATATCGACAGCGAAATCAAGAGCAGCCAGAGTATTCTAAAATATATAACATTCTAATTAATAGAAAAATATGATGACCAATTTGGCAAAGGGAAGGAAAGTGGACTGGAGCAGGAAAAACGTACAGGTATTCTGCTTGATGGCTTTATAAGGCCCGAAATGAATGCACATATATAACCACAACAGTAGATACATATGCCCATACATCCGGATACTGGTGTAACCTGAGGAAACGAAGATGGAGAGGGAAAAAAACGACAGACGAAGTCCAATAGTGTATTATTCACAAAAAAAAGATAAACGATCACGCGAGGAAAGATATCTACTCGTATAAGGTAAACAAATGTGGTGAGATGTCGCCGATTATGATCAACTCGTTCGAAGGTGTTGCTGATAGTTGGTATAAATAGAAATGTTTGTCCAAAGCATCGAGAACGAAGCCAGAAAGACAAAGCAAGTTGGTATCCAGGCACCTTTTCGTAAAAATCCATGCTGAATGATTACGTTTTTTACATCAAAAAGCATTTCGTTATCAATTAGTTTTTCAAACAGTCTGGCATATACCTGTATTCACTCTCAAAAATGGTGGTAACGGAGGACTCCTTCCAAGCATCGGAGAATGCGTTAAATTCCAAAGAGGTGTTGTAAATTAAAGTAAGAGGTTTTACATTTTTTGATAAATATATTACTAGGGTAACTTCCCAACCTCAAGTAACTTATATAGATTTCAACTTTTATTCAGGGTGGACCAGAAAGACGTGCGAATTTCAAAATCGCATTGTTCGTGACAGGCACGCGGAAGCGGAACACGGGTAGTGGGGATAAGTAGCTTGGTGCTCTGAAATTTAGTCGCCATGGAGCGTTTCAGCGTTCTGTGTTAAGGCTTATTATAAAAATGGAGATTCGTCCATTTTTGCGCGGCATCTGTTTCGCTCCCAGCTTAGTTTCCATGATCTAAATCTATGTCCTAGTGAAAGTGTGATCAGGCAGCAGTGGTGGCCGCAGTAGTAGACTCTTCGGTCTCCTGATCGGTCGCCGTGCGCTGTGCGGGTTCGAATCCCGTCCCAGGACAAACATTTCTCTTGGCTATGGATGTTGTGATTGTCCGTAGGTGGTAGACGGTCTCTGACTGTCGATCGCGGAGGTACCACCCGGCGGATCTCGAAGGCAGAGCCAGAATGTGTGCATGTTGCATGCACACGTGTTCCCTCGCCAGAGTCCGTGTGGCGTGTCCCCTTTCCCCTGTATCCCCCTATAAAAAAGGTCATTTGTCAGAAGGTTCGAGTCTACCGGTTCGACACTGAATCAGGAAACCTGCGGGGTGTAAATGGTCAATACGAACAGAGTATGCTGTAAGCGAAGCCCACAAGACGCGATCCACAGTTACCATCCCGACTTCAACAAGTGCAGGAATTGATACCGCAGGACCACCTTCTACGCCGTGCGTTTGCCAAAGCAAGGTTGGAGCGCTTTCCAAGTTTGAACAATACTCTCTGTTCTGGTAAAGATAATTTTCTTTTGAGTAGAGCCTTGAATTCGCGTTATGTTACAGTTTGGGTAGCAATATCGGCTGAAGGAATCATCGGACCTTATTTCTCCGAAAACGAGCAAGGCCAGACTGTAACAGTAAATTCTAAACGCTACACAGCAATATTACGTAACTCTTTCTCTCCACAACTGCATAATTTTGAAGCCTACCATAGCAGGACCTCGTTTCAACAAGATGGTGCGACTTCCCGTACCTTTAGCAGTTTTAAACGAAATGTTTAATGGAAAACTTATAACGCAACCAGGGGACATTCCGTGGCTTCCCTGGCGCCCAGGTTTCGCCCCACTGGATTTTTTTTTCTCTAGGGAAAGCTCAAAAGCCGCGTTTCCACCAGTAAACCAACGACGCTTGAGCAGCTCAAGCACAACATTTCCGAGATATCCGCTATCCCAAGAGCTATGAGCCAGCGAGTCGTCACAAATTTGAAGTCGAGATTCGAGGAGTGCATACATCTGGATGGCTCACATCTCAATGATGTTATCTTCGAAAAAATAAAATTCCCATGTGTCTACTTTATTAGAAGTTAAGTTATACTCCTTTCGCTTTGCAGTTCTTGTTTTATGATTTTTCAAAATCCGCTCAACTCAATGGCCTAGTGCAACTCAAACTTTGATTTGAATATCAAAAGTCGACTAACTAAATACTAAGCACTTTTTACTGATATCCAAGAGCTGCATTTTGAATTGCACATGTTCGAGTTTCAAAGCACAATTCCCCTGAGCCTAATTTCTTTTGACCAATTTACATCAAAAACTCTGAAATAATTTCAGCCCACATTAAAGCATATAAATATACTCAGTGATACTCCCAGAAAGAAATAACTTTTCCAACTTGATTTCTTGGCAATGAGGTAAACTTACATCAAGAATGGAACGATAACATCCTCACGAAATTTTATTAACAAGTAGTAAGACAGCTGAATGCACTTCTGATTACGTCTTGGCCTCGACAAAATGAAATGGCCCATGTCTGGTTTTGAGACCTCACTCCAAGCAACTGGAACTTCGTGGAGTAGCTGTAGTAGAGTCTGTGCCGTATAGTGCAAAGTAGATAGACTCCTCCCCATCATATCCCACATATGTTCGATGGGATTTAAGTCCGGTGAACGGGGTGGCAAACGGCAAAACATCTACTCCTGCTTGTTGAAGAAAGTCCGTAGTACGACGACCAATATGGGGACGTGCTTCTTACCCTTCTACGACCATCGTGCGTACCTAGACAAAATCGCGATTCGTTGCTGAGGTTGACATTATGCCATTCTGCCTCCCAATCTTGCCATTTTCTGCTCCAGCTCAAACGTTGACGACAGTAGTCCGCAGTCAGAGGAAGCACTAACCGTGCACGGTATGAGAAAAGTCGAAGGGCTCGAATGCGACGACAGAGTGTACGAATAGTAGCAGGAGTACCTTCTTCTTGGAACCATAGGGTGAGTTGACTGAAGCTCATATCTTGACGCTCTGTGGTACGCCTCGGTGGACCAGTTGGCCTAATTCCTGTTTCTCTATCTTCTATCCACACACCCATTACCGTCATTGCAGTACAATTAACACGTCGGTCAATTTAGCGATAGGTCAAAGCAACATCTCGATAAGCAATAATTCTGCCCTTGTCAAGGTCGTTAACATGGCGATAATTTGGACTTCTTCGAAGTCGGAGCATTTTGTTATGCTTAACACACTAGTAAATGGAAGAGCAATAACTAAAAATACCTGTACTACTCAGCTCTCAGAAACTGCTTTCATCACAAAAACTAAGAGATGGTATTTTAGCAAAGGTAAACAAAAACAAAGATAAAATGTTGACATTACTGCCACAGCATGCTTAAAATTAATATAGTGACTATGTAGCCAAAAATCAGGTTAAAGGAGTTGTTATTTTCTGAGTGTAACATTTCTAATGTAACTGAGTATATAAATGATAGTTATTTCGAGACAGAGCGTGGTATGACATCCAATAATATCGTTAAAACTACAGATAACAGAGTTTACCTTTCGCATATCGACCGTTTTTCTGACAAGTACTTGAAGCCATGGATAGTTGTACTCTCACAGTATTCCCGAAAATATCCTTTAGTACCAGAATAGTAGTAGCTTATTTTTGCTCGCCCATTTTTCACCTGCTTTTTCGTAATTGCACGCTCTATCGTGCCCTGCCTCGGTACTTCAGGAGAAGTTATGGTTGAAATCGAAATTGCACACTCATTTCCAAGAGACTCATCACAATTACTTGATTTTACAGAAGCCATTTAAGGATGATTCGTATACAAGGTGATAGCGCAAGCTGTAACACACACGTTTAAATGTTATTAATTAGCTTTTCAATCGTGTTTTAATGAGGAAATCTCACCACCTGGTGCACAAGGGTGTTTCCCTTTTCAATTTTATTCTAGTCGGCCTTCACATAGAGAACATGATATAAACAGTCCAGTTACAAAAAGTAAATTAGATTAACTGGGTGTGTTATTACTGGTTATATCAGGTACGAATACAGGTTCTGATATATTGAGTGTTTTAATTTTAAATCTCTATAGTGGGCATTACTTTTGCTCAGACTATTCACAGGGGTAATTCATTTCTCTTTAGAGGTTCTTTAGAACGAAGAAAATATTGAAACAATCAACCATATCCGGTTGTTTTATTCTCATTTTCTAATCCACAGGCTGGATAGACGATGTCTGCTTCCCATCTGAGCGACCATAACCAACCATATAAACAGTTGTTTCATGCTTTATAGCAATTATCAGTACGCCATAGGTCTATTCATTTGCAGACAAATTACGGAAAGTAAATAAGAGAAAATGAGTCTAGTGAAAAACACTGCCTCAGTGTAAAGCCAGTAGACTGAAGCACATTGACTCATTATTTGGTTGCATGAAGCTGGAAAAAAAAACACGTAGCTTATAGAAAACTATTTTATTGTATATGTTTAAATTACATAGGCATATAGGTATAAACAAAAATTAAACTGTTAGTTAATTTAATATATGTTTGTAGCTGCTGCACTTTCAGACCAGGACGTAAGGAGAGGCATATTCGTAACCTGGAAAGAGCAAATTTACTTACTGAATACATTATTGCTGGTGAGGTGAGCACTCCTTTCCGTAAAAGGAAAAGTAATGGCGGTAAAATATTGTCTGGGCGCAACTAGGAGACTACAGCTCTTTGTACGGTCTCCTGAATGAACTGGACACCAAAGTGCTGTTGATATTTGAATACAAAGTCTAAATATGTTTGCAAGTCATTAAATCAGTAAACCGGCAACTTGTGTACTAAGTAGTCGCTAGCCCATTCTGCGTCTACTACTAAAAGTTAGGATTACAGCAGAGAACGAGTACTGAACAGAAAAACATGAAAGGAAGTATAAGAGAAAGGTATTTCCAACGAATCAACATGATACTAAAGTCGAAACGCAATAGTAAAAATCTTTTACTACCAGCGAGCGGAAAGTATTCACTTTCAACGCGCATTTGTGTGTAGAAAGTAGCACTTTTCCGCACGCACTACGTGATTTTTTTATTAAATTGAATGTTTTTGGTAATGGAAATGAAGCCAAACTACTAAAGGCGGCGGCACTAGTTCTGCTTCGAGAACTCCTACAAGTTTTCATAAGGTTCCTGATGTTGTTGATGAGAATGCTGATGTTACAATTATTAAGTGACCTATAAAACATACTCCACTTCGCGTCGTTCGTGTAACTGCAAGTATCACTTTCCGCACTTGTTAGGTAAATAACTATTTCAAGGCTAATAATACATATTATGTGGGGCCATTGCTTACATACACGTTTGGACTACTGAATTGGACACAAACGGAACGACAGGACATACTCAAACTAAAACAAATGTTGCACCACAAAGCAGCACTTGAACGAATGACACTGAAGAGTACCGACGAAGGTAGAGTTGTGATTCACATCGTCAATCTACATAACAAGAGTATACTTAAACCTATCAGACCTGACATAGTGATTAAGAAGAAGAATGATAAGGAAGCACTTCTTATAGATGTCGCAATAACAAACAGCAATAACTTGGAACAAGCGTACAGAAGCAAACTTTCTAAATATACACACTATGACAAAAGTTGGGGAGGCAGCAAATATCTGACGAATGACTACTCATCTAATTTTTTCAAAAATTTGTAAGCCTAGATTCGAAACCACGGCGGATCCGTTGATGATATCCGCCGTGTTACCAAATCTACAGTTTTTCAGAAACTGATAGCAACTTTTGTTTTTGTTTTGACATAAAATTCTGAATACTTTTTATTGAACATTGACGTGGACCTCATAGTTTTTTTTTTTCGAAATATTCGCGGTCAAACATTAATCTTCAAACAATAAAATGTATTTTTTGAGCCTTGCAATGACCGGTATCGAAATTAATTTCCTGTCATCTCTGACATTTAAAAGTTTATTTTTGTCTAGTTTTGATAATAGAGCTGTTGAGAATGATTCATTTCACTGAAACCGAGACAATATAAATTCTAATGATTCTGCACCGGATGTCGTCAAAATGTTCTAAACGCATTTCCGCAAATATGTGACTTATTACCAAGAAGTATATGGACAGCAATTTAAACAATAAACACTCAATCAAGCGGAATCGCACAGCAACCCTCTGTTGCGTGAATCAGTAGACTACTCAGTCAAGCAAGTTCTCAAACATTCCAGTACGCGCCTCGCACTGTGATCAAAATTAAATTGTAAATTCAGACCAGCCAAAATAATTTCAAAACCGATCAAAATTATTTTTTGGAGTTACAAAATAATTCGAGTAGTCAAAGCAATAATGCTTAAGCTATTTCAAATGATTTACTTATTTTCTTTGCTCTATTTCTTCCTTCCCTTCTTTCCCTTTTCCCCTTAAACATGTTTGGTATCTGGGTAGCCAGACCTGACATACTAACAGACCGACGAGACTTTTAACTAAGAGCAAAGGTCCACCGGACCGCTCTGACGAATAATGACGAATAGTAGTACATTAAACACTTAATATGATTTTTATCTTGTTTAAATTAGCAACTAGGTTTTATCGTGTTCCTTTTTTTCAATATTTTTCTCTTGTTTCCTTGGAATATCAAATACACTATTTTAATCAATATTAGAAATTCTGTCCTTTTGCTTTTAGTTAAATAAATCATATTTTCATTAACTCTATTAACAAAACTCGATGGACTTTTCAATGTCATTAATGACGGGAAATTGTTCTCCATGCCGGTCATTGCTTAGGTGAAAAATTTAACCTTTTATTGTTATTTCGAAAACTATGAGGTCTACGTCGAGGTATGTTTGATAAAACGTATTCAGGATTTCTGGCGGAACACAAATATCGAATAAAACGTATAGCATCATTCCATAAGAAAAACAAAAGTGGTTCAGTTGTTATTAGCTAAAAATTGTAGATTTGGCAACATCGCAGATATTATGAACGGATCCGCCATGGTTTCTAAACTAAACCTACCAATCTTTTAAGAAAATCAGATGAGTCATTTGTTAGATATGTGATGCGTTCCAAACTTTTGTTACAATCTGTATATACCTATGCTTTGAAGTTAAGAGTTTGTAGAAATATGAAATGGTAGTAGTGCCAATCACAAGCTGCTTCTTTGGCTGGCAGCAACACTACATCTCCGTCATCCAACGCTACCCTCGGCACGCAGGCACAGTCACCCCGTCAGCGGCGTATTACACCTGTCGTGCTGCGGCAAAGTGGCGCACTGTCAACTATAGTTTTATCAGTGTTGGTATTAAGATTGATCGAGCACCTAGCTGTTGATGCTGGGATACGCATCGTACCTAAAAGCGAAGACGATTATCGGAAGATAATTCTTCTTTTCAAAGAGGAAAATGTTCCTCACCAGACATTTCCCTTGCCCTCTGACCGTAACATTCACGCTGTTATTAGAAGAATCCCAGCGTCAACCTGAGCATCAAATCAAAGATGAGCTCGCACAGAAGGGATATACTCCCCTCCACGTAATTCGCTTGAAGTGCAACGGCGGCGTGCGCATGCCTTTGGTGGTGGTGATCCTACCGAAGACAGAGAAGTCACAGCAAGTGTTCAACGAAAATTAACTGCTTGGGGTTCTCTATCAGATTTAAGGTTCAAAAGATTTTTCGACTCATTGGGCAGTGTCACCGCTGTCAGAAGTATGGACACGCGCAATCGTATTGCACTGCACCTCCAAAGTGTCTCAAATGTGCTCAAGACCACATGACACATCTGTGGCCTCAAACAGGACAAGAGGCGCGCAAATGTTCGAGCTATGGAGGGGACCATCTGGCCAACAGCTCTACCTGTAAATTCACACCTAGGAGAAATCTACTGGTCATTGCAAAAACACGAGTAAAACCATACGCAGGCGCAGCAAGGTTGAAATTCTGGCTGCTCCTGCTGTCCCGAGCTCACCTTCGACTGCTCAAAACGTGGACCTGGCAACAGCACTCAGATAATTAGTCCCCTGATAAGCGTTACACAGGCCTTGCAGGCGACCTTTCCGATAAATGGCTAGGTAGAATAGTGGACGGCCAGCATTCATCAAAATTCTTTTCTGGAATTGTTTGGGTCTTAGGGACATTCCCAAAAATAACGGGTATTTGATCAAGTACTTTTGGATGAGAGTATAGATGTGGCTTTGTAGCAGGAAAGATTGCTTAATCCGGGAGATCGTCTACCTTTCCCGAATTACCATGTTAATCGAGCAGATAGATTAACTGGACGGGATGGCGGCTTGGCAGTCCCAGAGAAACGCAGTATTGACTACCATAGAAGCACAAATACCGAAACGTAGAGCATCGGGGCGGCTTCCATGGAGGTCAATATCATGGCGGGTGTCCCGTTCAAGATCACATCGGTGTAAATCAGGTGTGGTGCCAGGCTGCAGAAGGCGGACCTGGAAGTCCTTATGGACTACTCTGGTCCGCTTACTGTAGCAGGAGAATTCACCTGCAAACACAGAGCATGGCATTCTAGGTTGAATTCCACCAGTGGGAGTCGACTGTGCAACCATGTGATATGAAACGGCTACCTCATACACAGTACTGAAAAGCCCTCGCACCACCGATTTATCACCTTCAGGCACCAGATGTCATCGACTTTGCAATATCTAGAAACGGTAGATACAGTATCACCTCTCGAATCATGTATGACATTTCTAGCGATCATCTTCCTGTCGTATTGGAAGTGGGTGATGAGCAGACCTTGGAAGAGGGAACTTCCCCAAGGAAACGGGTTGATTGGGACCTATACAAGTTGTTTCTTAGAGAGTTCCCCAATATCCCGATCATAGATAATCAGAACGGTATAGATGTGGCTCAAGCAAGCGAAAAGGTCTTGCCAAACTGATGAAATTCGCAGTGCGACGAATCTTGTTCATGAAGTAAGAAATGCTCTCCATGAATTCCGCAAAGAGTAATGGAACGACTTTCTGGCGGGGATGCTAGACTCAAGTACTCCTCTCTGGAAAGTGGCGAAGTCGCTCAGAAACGGAAAGCGAGAACAACTCCCGCACATCCACGATCCTGGGGGCATAGTTTTCAGGACAGGGGACAAGGTCGAGGCTTTCGCTGATGCTATGGTACGACAGTTCTCTCCCAACTATGATCTTGACATGACCTCGACGAGGTGCAACAAATTGTAAGATCCGTCAGGAGATATTTTAGGGCCAATGGCGTCAGTGATCCCTGCGCCGCCATTAGTGGTTCTTCCTCAGAATATTCTTTTTCGGAATTTTCTTCAGCTGAAGGGTTGCACAGCACATCAGCGGCTTCTCCCGAGATAGCGCATTACACACCAGCAAAGCTTCAAGGTCATATTAAAGACCTCAAAGTGCGTAAAGCGCCTGAGGAGGATCAAATCGCTAATAAGGCGCTGAAGCTCCTTTCACGGAAGTCCTTGATTTATCTCGTGGCTATTATCAATGCCATGCTAGGGACCCAGTACTTTCCATCGGCGTGGAAGACTGTCGAAGTTACAATGATTCCAAAGAAGGTGGGTTAGACATTTCCCCAGCACTGTCGTCCCATCAGCCTACTGTCTGCTCCGTCTAAGCTCGCTGAAAAGGTGATTCTACGTCACCTTGCGAATTTCTTGTCAGATCACCATGTGATTCCTGACGTGCAATTTGGATTTCGGTCTGAGCATAGAGTTACAACCAGTTAGGTTTGTTGAGCGAGAGTAACCAGGGGCTTCACCCTTAACAACAGTACTGGCATCTTGCTTCTGGATGTCTCGAAGGCATTTGACAAGGTATGGCACAAGGGCCTTCTCTATAAACTAATCCGAAGGGGCTGTCCATTTTGGTTCCTAAAACTTTTGAAATCCTTCCTCGAAGGTAGTAAATTTCGGATCAAAATTAATAATTTTTTGTCTACAGTACGGCACATCAGAGCCGGCGTCCCTCAGGGTTCGGTTCTAGGGCCAATCATTTACTCACCTTTCACGCATGTCCCTTGCCCTAGCGAGTGTAGTATTTCTACTCCTATGTGCTGATGACACTGCACTGGTGGAGCGTACCGGGAATCTGATTCACGACGGGTTACAAAGTGCGGTGGATGAGGTATTGGAATGGGCACGCTATCTGTTGTACTAAAAAACGTAGCGGCGCGCCGGGTTAGGTTTCAGAGAATGGAACTTGCATACCATGGGGAAATTCTGCTAAGTATCTCGGTGTCACTCTTGACAGGGGGACGACCTAGCAGAATTGCAATGAAGCGTTAAAAACTAAGTTCCAAATTACGTTCCGGCAACTCTACCCTTTGCTATGTAGAACCTCAAAATTAAGTTTGGTCAACAAAGTTCTGCTGTACAAGATGGTTATCAGACCAGCAACCATTTACGCATGTGCAGCATGGTGTTTTCTTGCCAAAAAGCAAATGCGTAATCTGCAGGTTTTGTAGAACAGTACCTTCCGAACCATCACTAACGCATCGTGGTATGTCTCCAACGAGACCCTTCACAGAGATTTCGTCATCCCTTACCTAAGGGACTACATCAAACATCAGGCGCAGTTACGTTATAGTCAAGCGGAATCGCACAGCAACCCTCTGTTGCGTCAGTCAGTAGACCACACAGTCGAGCAAGTTCGCAAGCACACAAGACCGCGGCTTGCACAGTGATCAACATCAAATCATGCAATTCTAGGTCCAACCAAAATGGCACACACAAATTCCTAAATTAATTTTTGGATTAATTTAAAATAACCGAATACCAGTTAACAATAGCAAGGCAACCCTTTAAACGGCGCACTTCACCCCATTCCTTCCTTTCTTTCTCCCTGACTTCGTCTGGTATCTAGGCAACCAGACTTGACAGACCTACCGACCTACGATACTTTAAGAGCGAAGGTCCGACGGACCGCTCTGACGGACAATGACGAATAGAGAGGTATTGTAATGTTTGGTGACAACCGCTGTCAAGTTTTGTCGAGGGTAAGAGCGAAAAAACTGGTGACAGGTGCTGTCATACAATTTTTCATTTAGAAACCATTTGTAATTCCACGCACGCGTTTGTGATTGGTAGAAATGAAAACGATGGCAATAGTCTTGTTTCGGTTGCACATAAGGAGTCTTGATGTAAAAAGAAATCAACTAATATTACAACAGTTATAATTTTTTTTTAAAAGCAACTACTAGATCATATTTTTAATAACATTGCGATATATTCTCAGTCCAGTGGAAATCTATTTCGTAATTTTTTCGAAGCTGTAGCAGGATCTGTCCTTTGTCGATGAGCTTGAAGTCTCAGAAGTCAATCCTCAACTGCGTTTGTTGCTTACCGTCTTCCGTGTCCAGGTCTTCTTGAGTGAAAAAAAAGACACAGTTTCGCTAAATCTTCATATCGCATCCAATGCAGTACTGGGTGGAACGGCAAGCCTTTCTGTGATTACCGAATAGGACGACCATCACCTTGTAAAGCTACAACTGCGCTAGTTGTACCAGTGTCATTTTTGTTGGTTATTGCTTGACAGCAGTCCTTTTGACATGCCATAAAAAATCTAACAGACACAGCCTACTTAAAAGAATTTTATGATCGGCAAAGCCTGCTTGAAACAATTTCTTGTTTATTGCTATGTTTTGCATGATTTTCTTCAAACCAGCATATATACTACTCGTACTTCAGTAATTGAGATATTGTCATAAATCAAATAAAGAAATAGTTGAGGCTCAAAATTCTCATACGGAGACACATTATTCAGTAATCCAGTGTCTCCACAGGGTGTTCAGAAGTTTAGGGCAAAACGCACCTTTTAGTTAGGCACTGTATTACAACAAATATTTTCATGTTTTGCAAAATGGTCAGTCAATAATGATTACAATGAAATTACCTACAAATTGACAAAAAATTAACGAAATTGTAAGTAAAATTTAATTTGAACAAAATTTTGTTTGTCCGGTTAATTTTGCGAGGCAGTGTATTTATTATATTTAATCTATTTCGGTATTATTACACTTCCTCTTCCAGCAGGAATGGGAAGTAAAAAGAACCACTAAGCTGTACTCACTGTCAACCTAAGGGTAGGCTCAATCTCCCCTAATATGTTGACTTATTTAGAAAAACATCTACTTTATAGAAAAGTGATTTATTGTGTACTATAAATTACAAAAAAAATAACCTCATTCAGTTCATTTGACAGTTGCTTGTTGCTGTTGTACTTTTATACCCGCACGTGAGGGAAAGCATATCCCTAACCTGAAAAGAACGTATATACTTACTGAATTTACAGTGCTGTTCAGAAAGGCTCTCCTCGTGCTTATTTTTTAATGCGGAAATTCGGGGTGATGAAATGGTTACTGAATCTTAGCGTTAAAATGGCAGTTGAAAATTTTAAGATGGCGCTTAGGCGCCATTTTGGAGCATTTTGGAAGTGGGATATGGAGTCGTGTGATAGAGCTAGCGCTACTTATGAGTACTTTATGATCCTAAAATATGAAATCACTGTCTTTGAAGAACTGACGGACTATCAAAACAGAGCGTTTTTCTACATTGAGTCGCTTAGCCAATGATCAAGACATTTTAACAGTAATTAGGCTCTCTTGGAAGGGTCTATTCGAATATGTAATCGAATATTCTACTTAAAGAAATTGTTTGTATGTGCCATGTTTTATTGCACAAGCAGATACACTCTTCCAAAATAAAAATAGTGATATGCTCTACATTTCTGATGATTAGTAGTAGAGTTATAAGCGACTCAATGCACAAAAACCCCCAACTTCAACAACCTGCCAGTTCGCCAATTTCAAAGACCGTGATTTTAAATCCCAGCGTTATATAGCTCTTATAAGGGCTTGAAAATAAAGTATCATAATATATTTAGAAAAATGAGTGACAGTAAAATATGCATTTCAGAAATTGTTGCCGCCAGCTTGAAATATTCAACTGCTATTTTTGTATAAAAATATAGTGTTGATGCATCAATACTATTGTTAAGAATTCCAGCTTGCCAACATGTTCAAAAGATAAGTAATTTCTTTCCTCTGCTTATCTGTTCCAAACAAGCAGGCTCTTTGAAATATTCTACAAAACTTTCCCCATTGTAAAACAGCTAGAAACCCAAAAAATTGCTGAAACGGCTGAGGATATCTGAGATTTTTTTACACGCGAATTTTTCCAAGTTTCGGGCCATCAAAAAAGTTATTAGCAAATTTTTTGCTAAAATGACGTAGACGATCTATTGCTACATGGTGGGGTTATTGTTATTCAGTAATAGTCCACTTGAATTTCGAACCCTGAGCTCGCTTGTCAGTTTGGCGTTCACCGACTTTTCTGAATAAACAAATTTTTGGTGTCAATGCGATTTGGTACGTGGAGTAATTTCTCTTCAGTTGCTTGTCGATTGACAGGACAAGTGAGGTAAGTGTGTGTACATTTTAGAATTGAAGTTAAATATTCATTCCGTATATTTCATTGGAGGCAAGAAATTATATACAAGCCATTTATCGGAAGATGCATCAATTTTGTGTATTTTCGATTTTGACAGGATGATTATTTTTTTATTATCATTTTTCTGTTCAATAACCTCAACTCTGAAATGTACACATACATACTTATAGTCCTTCCATTATAAATATTTGGAAACGCAAAATATCCCTGAGCTGCACAAAAAAGGTGTGAAGTCCTGTGCAGGTAAGTTGTACACAGCAGAGCATACTACTGTATTAAGTCTTGGACTTTACCAATGAGCACTATTATTGGTTGCCACAGCGAGTGTGCAGAGAAGACATTGTCAAATGCCCATCACCATCGGCCATTATCTATTCTTTACATATTTGCGTTGGCGTATGTTACGTTACGTTCACACCTTTTTTGCAGCTCTGGGTTTTTTGTCGTCGTTCAAATTCTCAATGAAAATACTATACCTCACTTATCCAGTCAATCGACAAGCGGCTGAAGAGAAATTGCTGCATCTTGTACTCTACTTAAACGCATAAATTTCAAAAATTCATTAATGTGCATACGTCGGTGAACGCCACAACTACAAACTAGCTTAGTATTCGAAATGGCCTATCACTGAGAGTGGGACACTGAGGACGTCGGAATACTAAAAGAGGATCGTCCGCGTCAACGGTGCGGCGGCTGGTGATACGAGTATGTGTACGCGCACCCTTGTCCCCGCAAGCCCCTCACCCATAAACTATCAGCAAGCTGTAGCGCGAAAGCAATTTAGGAAAAAAATTGCAGAGACCTTTTTGATGACAAAAAATAAAAAAAAAAACACGTGTAAGAAAATCCCAGATATCCCGTCAGCCGTTTCAGTGAAATTAATTTTTTTTTTGTTTTTCGCTGTTTTACAGAAAACTGCTGGTTTCCGAAAGACTGCAATATTTGCAAGCCTTTATTACACCATTACGCCAGCGGCGATAATTTTGTGGCTATGTTAAGTTTTGCATATAGAAACATAGTAGGCCACGCGGACCTAACGTCAGCTCTGAATCTTAACCCCGCTCTTTAGTAAACTTAAATTCAAAGTTTCACAACAATACGTGCAGTGTTCTCACTACAGTGAATTTTAAAGTGTCACCATGTCATTAGAAAAATGGAACTCAACCGAGAACATTTTCGCGCCATAACTCATTTCAGAGACAATTATCGCAACTAGAATGCCTTGCTGAGTTACTATCTGTTTTCGGAAACGAAGCGCCACATCAGTCGACAATTTCCCTTTGGTATGGAGAATTCAAACGTGGACGGATGAGTCTTGGCGACGATCCCAGGGTGGGTGCACCAAAAACGGCAGTCACCCAGGAAAACGTCGATGCTGTGCGCAAACTCATCATTGAAAATACACATGTGACATATCGCGAGATTGAGGCGCCCTTGAAGATCTCAAAGACCTCAATTCAGAAAATTTTTCATTGAAAATTAGGAGTAAGAAAATTAGTTTCTCGTTGGATACCTCACCTGTTCACTGAAAAGCAGAAAGCAGCCAGGGTTAATGGGTGTCAAAAACGATTGACCGTTTCAATTCCGGAAACTCAAAAAATGTGTACAGCATTGCTAGTGGTGATCAGTCGTGGATTTACTGTTATGAACCAGAACATAAACGACAGTGGCTGTTTGGGTGTTCCAAGGTGAATAAAAGCCTACAAAAGTCATCCGTTCTCGAAAAAGATGGTCGCGACATTTGTGTCAAAATCGGGTCATAGTGCAACAATTCCTCTTAATGAGAAAAGAACTGTTACTGCGGATTGGTATACCACCATTTGTTTGCCAAAAGTTATCACCGAGCTTCGAAATATCAACCCCGAAAGAAGAATCATCCTCCACCAAGACAATGCAAGCTCGCACACAGCCAAAAAAACAAGGCAGTATTTAACGGAAGAAAACGTGGAACTATTGGACCATCCTCCATATAGTCCCGATCTAAGTCCTAACGATTTCTTTACTTTCCCGAAAATTCAACACAAACTGCGTGGTCATAGGTTCCAGTCACCAGATGAGGCAGTTGACGCATTCAAAAATGCCGTTTTGGATCTGCCAGCAAACGAGTGGAATAAGTGCTTCGAAAATTGGTTAGGGCGCATGCAGATGTGTATTAATCTTCGTCTAGAATACTTCGAAAAACAATAAAGTCATTTAAAGCTACCTACCGTGTTGTCTTATTTCCATATGCAAAACTTACTTTTGCGGCAGTTTCGGGTAGTTTTGGACTATTTGTGCAGTTGGTCAGAAAAAGTTCAACACTATTTGATATTCCATAAGGCATTTTGAAATGACTTTTTTTGCGAGTTGATGTAGTTAACCGATGAAGCTACTTACATGGTGATGCTAATGATGCCCACACCCTATTTATTCGGACTATTTATTCGGACTTCAAGCGTGTTGAAAATGAAGGTATCTGCCCCTAGCGGATAGGTACGTATTTCGAAGTTAGCTTTTGTCGTTTAGATCGAAAACGTACTAATTGCTTAATTACAAAAAGTAAATTATATTTATTGACTAGGTGTATTATAACTGGTTATAGCAAGCGTGATGAGTGACAGTAGTGGAAAGTTGCTGATATGACGAAGTTTTAAAATACGAATATGATTTTTGCAATTATTGTGTAAAACTGCGTAAGAGCGGTACTAAGAAAATCGCGCGTAAAAGTATTTAGTCGATTGTTTTATATCGGTGCCAAGTAAATTTCTTTCTATAGATTTACAGAGTTTGTACTAAACGAATAATTAGATACTTGGTTGAAAAGTGCAATATGATTAATTTTTGGGCCCAGTCCAAAATTTGTGCAACCTGAAATTGCAGCAGATTCTAACAGATAGAAAATACACTATTTCTGCCAAGGACAGAAGGGAGAATCCAGTAAATAATCCAAGAAGGCCCCCAAAGTTGGCTAGGAAATCAATTGGTCCATATAATTCGTTTCTTTCCAGTGTTAGAAAGAAGTCTTCTTTGAAAAATATTGACAATCTGGCATATAGATACCTGAAATGATTAGGTTATTGTTAGCAATGCAGAATTTCAAGCAAATGTTCACATAAAATTTACGATCAACTTTGTTATTTGAACAACTATGGTGAATTTGCTGATAGTTTTGCCAGTGATATGTTAAAGTTTAAATACTTGATAAAAAACAGAATGTTGGTCACTCCCTTGTGAGCTGCGTTATATTTCTCTGTTTTATGATTCTTCTTACTGAATTGAACATTGTATTTTCATATACATGTTCATTTAAAAACTTCCCACGACGGATTTCTTGAGAACCACTGACTCAAAGACATGTCAAAAGATTTGTCAGTAGAGACAACTTTTTAACCACAAACTATTTCACATCCTTTCACCCTCGGCTCCCCAGAGTCATTCTCTTGAAAACATTAAATGGCAACGAGTATCGAGTAATAGCTTGCTTGAAAGGTGAAAAGATGTGAAGAGGTTTTTGGTTAAAAAGTTGTCCCCCTTGGCAAATGTTTTGACGTGTCTCGGCGTTTTTTCTTTTAATCAGTGGTTTTCGACTAATCCGTGGTGAGAAGTTTTCAAATGAACACCCTGTATGTAAATCATCAATAACAATGTTAACAAATGAGTGCGTTCAACTAAACTGTGAATGTCCGTTTTGGAGATTTTCTCTGTTTGATGTCCCTAATTTGTTAAACGAATTAATTAATGAACATACCCTTGAATTAAACAAACAGCCTCACACTACACAGTATTTTTGAAAAAAAAACTTCTGGAAGAGTATATCACATATAAAAAACACCATGAATGTCTTCATTAAATGTATGTTTTATGTTTCATTACACACTATCTGCATAAAAAATATGAAGCAGTATACAGGGGAATGGACCGTATTTCGGGAGTAGGGACATAACAAAGGCTATGTGAAGCTAATTCCGTGAGATTTTAAGTTAAAAATAAATACCTGCCTATAAACATCACTCGTTCTCAACTTTATCAAACTGACTAAATCATTGTGGGAAAGCTTAGAAAATGGCCTTATAGCTATAGACATCTTCGTCTCTCTCGGCATCAGTCGACTGCCAATTCACAGAGATCGTTGATTTTCAAATGTTAGAGACTAGGATTGCGTATTGATTTTTGTAAAACTTATCAGAATTTTATCATTTTCGCGTTTCAATAAGAACTATAGACTCTCATGAAGCTTCCGACATTTACCTTATGCATCTTTCAAGGCATCTGGTTGTATTTTCGTGGTGTGTACGATCAGGACAAAAAACTAACAACGCGGATGAGCAAGAGGTACCTACGATTCGTTTTTTTTATTTCTGTAGCGAGCTAGGTGTTTTTCCCCGTAATTCCAGGTATACTGGCTGAGCTGCACTTCATAATTTATCTCCACACAGGATCGTCTGCAGTCGCAGAAAGACGTGCCGTTTTGATTAGTTGCGCTATGCTGGGCTTCCTTTCGTTTAAGCACAGCTACAAACAGATGTTAGAAATACTATGTTCCTGTTCACTCCATTCCATACTTACATTCCATTGCATCTGTACATGGTTGTTGGAATACCAAAAATGAAGCGGACCCGCAAATATCGGTGGACGATTCCCCTGAAAAGTCACGTGAGAGCTTTTAATGAAGCTGTTCCTACTTGTCTTTAAACTGAAGCAGCCGCGTAGATAGAAGCCTAAAGTAGAGGGACATCACGCCTGCTATGAGGAGCTTGGAGACACCTCGATAAACCCGATTTTGGAACTGCCTACACCTGAGAAAAGCCTCCCCAGGCAGATTGTTCCACAATCTCGACAGTCTAAATTCAAATGGGGAGTCATTTAGGACAGTTATAGATGTACGATGTTGGATACGGCTAGGATAAGACGCCGAAGTCAGGCGGGTTTGTCGCTCAGCAGCATCATGGAGGAGACTGCTGGAGAGAAAACCTACTTGAGATAGTGGTTGAATAGATCAAGATCGCCGTCGGCTCGTCAGTGCAAAAGGGTTCCGAGGCTGTCTGTTAGAGAAGAGTCATCAATCAGTCGGATAGTCTTCCTGTGAACAGCATCGATCATGGACAGCAACTCCTCGAACAGGTGAGCAGAGTACGCAAGGCTAGGTCTTATCTGGGCCTTGTAGAGCGTGAGGAAGTTATGAGTTAGTGCAAAACAAGTAGTTTTGCTCTTTCCCAGCAGCTGCCTCGATTGACGACATGTATTCGTGCCAGATCAAATCCTTAGTTTGGACACAGACGAGCCGAAATGGTTCACATCAAAGCTGTGGATTGGATTGATCGAATAACAAGGGAGGGCGTTGACATGCAATATAAACTATACTAGAGCCAAGATCCGGATCCCTGAACACCACCCGTCAATTACGACGAGTATCTCGTGCCGAGAAATTACGTCAGACATCCTGATGATCGGTGGATATGGAAGCCATACTGCTTGTTGCTAATCGAGCTGTGATGCTCAAGATATACCAGATGCTCCCGACTTATGTACCTCTCCATCATCGAAAGCAGAGCCATAGGTCTGTAGTTGTAAAGGTCCGTCCTAGATTCTTTTATGGGACAGGCTGAAAATGAGCAAATTTCCAATTTTCTGCAAAGTCCGGATCCAAGAAATATCTGGAAGATACTTGGAAGAACCTGAACAGGCTCCGCTGCATGTTTCTTCGGTAAATCGGCAGCGATTATGGCCAGACCGGAAGCTGGTTGAAGCCGTCGACAAGAATATCCGTCTTACTGTCCTATACCTAAAGCTTACCTCCCGTATAGAGCAAGAACACTTGGGCGTTGGGAAGTGTCGTCCATGGCGGAGTTTGCCGCAAAGATCATGGCAAGCACATCCGACTTAGTCAGTTACGTTTCATCTTGGCATGTAAGCAGTGGAAGGCTACTCTTTGGGAAGTTCCCTCCAATTTGCTTGGCCAGCGTCCTGAAAGACTGAGTGCCACTGTTTTGCGACAGTACCCTGTGCCTAAATTTTGCAACATTCTGGTCTTTGACAATGCGATTTTCGTCGATATAGTTTCTTCAGACATCGGCTTGTCTGTTCTATGTACACAATTTGTTGAACTACTCTTTAGACTTGAGTACTTTCACTCTATGAAGGATGTATTCCTCCATCCCAAAGTTGATAATTTCATTTATTGAATTGAATTTTAATCGTCTTTGCAATCGGATGAAAAATTTTAATGGGCTGAACTATACCTTAGCACATATCGCAAATATTATATTTCTTATTTTAAAATGAAAGATTAGTATGTAGATTGCACGAAAATATCATTTTTTCTTTAAGGAAACCTCTGCTTGCTATTTTATAGAACTTCAAAGTTGAATTTTGGGTGGTAATACTGTGGTATAGAGTACTGCTGTATAAGCTGTTTTTTTTCTTGTTGACACAAAAGGTTACTCAAAACTATATGAATATAACATACAATGTAAGCTACTGTGGCACTATTCATCGCAATTATGCAATTTTGCATTATCTTGATGATGAAGATAGTTCATTGTTAAGTTGTAATTTTTTTTATTTCATATATAGTCCTATCACTACACAACCATCCACCACCATCACTATTCTACCATCTCCATTTAGTTGCTATGTTGCCAAATCATGCATAGTAATATACCCTGATATATGAGGAATATCTGAAAACGTAGCTGTTGCCATGTTGCCAATCACTAAATAATGAAAACATAACAAAGAACATTGCAAGTTTCTTGATGATTTGATGAAATGTTCGTTGATTTTTATATAACTATAATGTTGGACGATGATATGTCGGATGGACCTAGTGAGGTGGTCCAAATCGACGAATAGAAGTGGGGTATTTTTATATGCAATGACCGCTGGTGCCTTTTATGTTTTCTGTCACGCGAGCCGCTAGTGCATTTTCCACTGTTCAGACACATACTGTTCAAAATTTCATTTAGTTTTCGGGAAATATTGGGTCAAGTTCTCATAAAACAAGCCATTTACAATAAATTGAGACTTTTATTTTGCAAATAACCTAATTTTTTATCACGTATTTCTCCCAAAAAGAGGTACAACTAGACAACAATGGACATCATTTATCTTATCTGTCAGGAAATGAAGGTTATAAATGGCCATTCAAAATTGTTTGTGCTTTTAAATATTTTTTGTATACGCAAAAACTTTGATCTCATTGAAAATACGAGAAATGGTTAAGGAGTTTCAAGAATACTTGGAAAACTCACAACACAACACCTGTACACAGTTGATAAGCTAATGTGTAATAACACGGCTGATTTTGAACCTTTTTTTGGAAAAAAACAACGATTTTTCACAGTTTTACATCTATTTTCCTTGGTACCATGCAGTGTATATTATATTCTTATAATTTAGAGCACCAGTTTGTGCAAATAGCAAAAGAAAACGTATAAAAAAGTACCCCATTCCAAAGTATTACATGATCAAACGAACTTACCTGAAAGTGATGTTTGATCATAATTATGTGAAGTCCTCGTCAAAGTAAATATTGTATTCATTTACTTCAAAGTTGTTGCAATAATTGGGTGATACATAGGAAGCGAGGGAGCTATTTACTTCGACGAGGACTTCAGATAATTAGGATTGAACATCAGTTTCAGGCAAGTTCGTTTGATCATGTAATTATGTTCCGTCCTCGTCGAAGGAAATATTTAGAATACATATCGTAGATGTTGAAAGCTAGTTGCAACAACATACTACTAACGCTCTGCAATAGTAAACGATAGGTTGTACACAACTTCACAAATTGTACGCATGGTCAAGTTAAAGCTTTCAGCAACTGGTAATATGACGTACCTGGTTCAAAACTTACCATCCATTTCATGGTAATGAGCAAATAACGTAATAACATAGTTATGTTTAAGGCGTGGAGACTTGGTCCACCTCAATTGCCGCTTGAGCAAGGTTATTGTTTGGCATAAAAGATTTGTGACGTAACTTAGAAAACGGAGCAGGCGGAGAGGTAGACGCATTTCATGTACTGTGGGTTGTCAATTGTGACGCTCTCTGCTAAAACCGACTTCATCCATCTGGGAGCCGAGGTACCATAATAAAGTTATTGTACAGCGACAAATAAATACTTTGGACAGATATCTGAGCGTAAAATACGGTAAAACTTAAGTGGTTGTCACATGAGTGACCCCGAGACTTTCAAAAGCTGAGAAATCCCAATTTCAGTATTATTCCACCCAATCCGGATGTTGTGCGTTTCAATTAGTTTGCACACTCTGACCTGAGGTTAGAGCTAGCAGTGTTGCTGGTTTCCTCATCCAAATATCTACAGAGCTCACCAGCAACCCCTTTGGTTGGTTGAGAACAACCACCGTATCTATACTTCAGTTGAGATAGCCTCAGCCAGTAAATGCCCTTCAAAAACCATCTTATGTCTGCATCTTTAGTATCATTTTTGGTAAAAGACTGATAGCTGAAGCAATTATATCTTGATCTCTTATCACCTGTAAGGTAAAAAATTTCAAGGTATGAAACCAGACATGTATACTAAGTGACATATAAATCCGAACACCCAGTTTAAATGGTTTTATTTTAATAAAATTTTGTATAAGTACTTAATGAAGCATAATAAGTAAATGATAAAAATTTCAAAATGATTGCACTGCTTTAAAGCCCTTTGACCTTTAATAATGTGTGGATGCACCCTGATGTGCTACGCATTCTCCAACGCGTCTAGGCATGCTTCTGATCAGGCGGTCAATGTCCTCCTGTGGTATCTCATTCCAGGCAACCACCAACTCCTCTCGAAGTGCTTCTAGAGTCTGAGGAGGACGTTGCAAATTGAGCAATCTCCTACCCATCATATCCCACACGTGCTCAATTGGGGATAAGTCGGGAGATCTTGGTGGCCATGGTAACAATGTGACATCATTATGTTGAAAGAAGTCTATTGTGATTCTTGCAACATTTGGTCGGGCATTATCTTGTTGGAAAGTTGGATCTGCCAGGGTGTCAAGATAGGGTAAAAGATGGGGTTCTAGAACTTCGTGGATATAACGCTGCGCGTTCATGTTACCTCTAATGAAGATTAAAGGTGACCTGGAACCATAAGCTATAGCACCCCAGACCATAACTCCAACAGTGTGATGAACATGTCTTTCAACAAAAAACTGTGGATTCCTCCTTTCACCACGTCACCTTCTAACCCTGGCACGACCATCGTGCATGCCTAAACAAAATCGAGACTCGTCACTAAAGACAATACTGTTCCATTCCTGATTCCAGAGTGACCGTGGTCTGCACCACTCAAGGCGATTACGTCGGTGTTCTCGAGTTAAAGGGAGGACCCAGTGTGGCCGGTATGAAAACAAGCCAAAACTTCTCATTCGTCGGTAAACACTTCGCATGCCAATAGGTCTTCCGTGTTCTGCAAACCATTCATTTGCAATGGACCTGGTAGTGGAGAAACGGTCCCTTAAGGTCAATAATCTTAGGCGGCGATCTTCACGGTCTGTTGTTCTACGGCGGCGTCCAGTGCCCCTTGCTCTTTGCGTACGACCTTCTCGAAGCCACCTGACAACACCTAACCACAGTGTCTACACTTCTTTGCACTCTAACTGTAATTGCCCGAAAATAAAGTCCAGCTTCCCGAAGTCCCACTATACGGGCCCTAGCAAACTCACTAAGTTGACGAAATCGTACAGGTCTCCGTACTCTAGGCATCGTAACCGATCGTAAAGGATGTCAAGAACCAACATCCGCCAACGTTGATTCTTTAATGCGGCTGAAATATTCCTTTTTAGAGCGTTAGTGAATTAAAAAAAAGCAGTATAAAAACCGGAATGTCCAACTGATAAGGCTGAAAATTTTTTCACTTGTTATTTACAGTAAGATAAATACATTCACCAACTTTTATTAAAATAAAACCATTTAAACTGGGTGTTCGGATTTATATGTCACTTAGTATATTTCTTCCCGACAAAGGTCCTACCGTAATCTAAGCCCACAATACATCATGGATTATCGATGTTGATTGGAATGACAGCTATCCAGTGACGATAACCAGGGTAAGCTTCAGAGTTAGTGGGAGCGGCGTCCTGGGTCCCTCCATCAGATTCTTGCGTTACATCTAGAAGTGAAATTTTAGAAACACCGAATACTTGAACCATAATCAGGACGGTGCAGGTGCAGCTCCCACTTCGTTTCCAAGTCCCACTGACGCAAAAGCTCATCTGTACCAGTATGACCCCTAGATTTTATATTTGACCCGAGGGCAGTAAGATTTCTCTCTTTACACAATTGCCATAGTTTTCCCGCAACCTGGTCCAAACGTGGAAACCAGAAGCTTTCCATTGTATTGATGTAGGATGTGGTATAATATACGACATCCCATCAATTCGGAAGCAAATCATTCACCACAGAAGAAAACTACCAGTTGTTCTTGATGATTAGCATGCGGGATATTCTCGGATGACCAAAAACTAGAGACTCCTCCCTGGCCAACGAATGTCCCAGTCCGAGAAATCATACAACAAAAAAATCGATAACTCAGTGTACCTCTGACCGCATCTGCCAGTTTTTTTGAGCCCCAGCCGAGGTAGACCTTAAGTTATATTATGTTAGTGGCATAGTAGCATTAAAATTCCCTTGAGAACTTTACAAGGCAAGAAATTTCACTCATTAGTGTATAGTCGGCTGTAACGAAATGAGAGACACCAAGATTCCGATGTTCACCGCAAAGCTTCGGACTCTGCCTTGGTTGCTGTCCGTTATTGCCCTTACTAGGTTTAGTAATGTCTGCATCGTCCGCTCAAGTAAAGTTACTTTCTTTCTGTCACAATTTAATAATGAGCTTGAAAGTGCTCGATTTTTTAAGGTATTCCAGAAATGGTTTTATTAGCTTTGTGAACATATACGGGGTGTAATATACCCTAAACGGTACAGCATTGTATTGGAAGAGCTGTCCCTTGAATATGAATCTGAAATATATCCTATCACTCTCCCTCACTGGTACCAAAATCCCTGCATATTCCAAATCCAGATTTTTTAAGAAAGTATCTATACGGAGAAGTCTGATCCCAGCAATAGCCTAGACTTAAGCGTCATATCCCTGTAAACAGACAGTCTTGAGGTAAGGAATCAAACCAGTTGACGCCTGAGACTAGGGGGTAAGAAAAAGTTGGATAGGTGCTGATTTTTAGTTAGCTCAACTTTTTTACTGATAGCACCGCAGCTAAGCAATTCATAGATGGACTAATGAGATCCAGCTATGGAAAAGTACTAAACCAGCCGCCATCTGAATGGCAAGTGACCACTTGAGGCCAACTCAGGACTTTAGCGCCATCCCCAAAGCTCTGCCATTGGTGATGAGTACGTGTTAATGTCCATGCTGATCTACACACCTCATCTGAAATAGTGGGTTGATGTTGTCAGTACTTTGTCTGGTCTTTTCGCCTTCAGCTGCTGCTCTGTTTATCTGATCTCTATTTAGAGTTGACTTACTTGGTCAGACCTACACCGAAGAGTAATATACCACTGGAAGCCTCTGTGAGAGTACTCCTGAGTCTTTTGCTTTAATATGAATATCTGCTAGCATGCATTGAACATTGATGATAGAGTATTACCAATTGCAGTTAATGAACAGCTCACATGTTGCTGTACACAGTCCAAGCACGCATCCCTGCGTGCGACAATTTCTATTGTGGCTTCCATTACCTCAAGGTTCACCTTAGGTGGCTAGAATAGAACAGAATTTATTCATCTATCGTCATCAACAAGATCTGCCCTCGAAATGTCAGCCTTGGAATAACGCCCGAACATTAATTATACTGAGGTCGCCGCATCCTCGTGGTGATGCGTCATCTATTGAAACAGACTACATGGCCTTTAAGAGAACACAATCCAGAGCGCCCTGCTGTTCGAGTGCCACCTATGCAAAATGTAACGTTAATCGGGCATAATGATATTTAACTTTCGTTATTACTGAACATTAGAACTTTGGTGGTTTCCTAACCGGAGTTGTTCATACGTACACTGTTCCATAGTTATCACCAGCCATGTGGAATTTGCTATCACATACAAAATGTAACGCTAGTCTACCATAGATGTACCTAATTTCCATGTGTTGTTAATGAAAAATAGTACTTTAGCTGTCTCGTAACCTGTCGTGTGCATATTATTGATCTGTTCGATGGCTATTCCAAATCATATGGAATTTGCTAGCACAAGCAAAATGTAACGCTTGTCTCGCATAGATAAAACCCAATCTGTATCTGTTATTAACGAAAAATGGTACTTTAGTGGTTTCCTAAACTGTCATGTGCATTCTGATAAAGATATCCCAAGGTTATCACAAACCAAATGAAATTTGCTATCACAGGCAAAGTGTAATGCTAACCTCGCATAAGGTGCCTATTATTTATCTGGTGATAAGAAAGAGGATATACATTGGCGGCTTTCTAACCTGACCTTTTCATAATTACACACCTGTTCCACGGTTATCACAGACCACGTGGAATTTGCTATCACAAGCAAAATGTAACGCTAGTCTCGAATAGATGTAGCTAATCTCTGCCGTTCATTAATAAAAAATGGTACTTCGGCATCTTCCTAACGTCTCATGTGCATCCTTACAATATTGTTCCACAGTTATCACGAACCAGATGGAATTTGATATCCCAAGCAAAATGTACCGCTAGTCTCACATAGATGTACCCTATTTTTATCTGTTATAAATGAAAAATGCTATATTGCTACATTGCTATTACAAACTAGATGGGATTTGCTATCACAAACAAAATGTAACGCTAGTCTCGCATATATGAACCTAATCTCTATTTGTTATTTACGAAAAATGGTACTTCGGCAGTTTCATAAGCTGTCTTGTGCATTCGTGCTATGCTGTTGCAGTGTTATCACAAACCATATGGAATTTGCCATCACAAGCAAAATATAACGCTCACCTCGCATAACATACCTAATCTCTATCTGGTAATAAGGAAAAAATATATCTTAACAACTTCCTAGCCTGCCTTGTTCAAACTTACAGTCCTGTTCCATGATTATCACAAACCAGATGAAAAATGCTATCACAAGCTAATGAGCAAAGATTGCTGACCACACTTTGTTGCTACGTTGTCCCAAACACTTTCAGTGTTGTTATTTGTGCAACGAAGTTCAGTATTGAGTCATTTTTCCAAACATCTTCATTCGTCCTTGGTGTGGACTATCACAAGCTAGGTCCATGTTGCTATCCCAAGCAAGCGAGTCCAATGTTACAACGTTATCCCAAATATCTTCGTTCATCCTTGGTGTGGAGCTGACTATCCCAAGCCAGGTCCGCGTTGCTATCCCAAGCAACCAAGTCCAATGTTTCAGCGTTATCCCAAACGTCTTTGTTCGTCCTAGGTATGAAGTTGGCTATCACAAGCTAGGTCCAGGTTGCTATCCCAAGCAACAGTGTCAGAACGTTGCAGCGCCGGTGAGGCATCCATACTAATATTCACTGAAATTGCACCTAAAATAGATCGGTTAGTTGACAGTTACCTGATGGTGACGGCTCTGCAGAAAAAGAGGCCTGCACGCCACTTTCTGATTCTGGTCGGCGACGAAAGGAACGTTCAGGCGACCGTCGGTCGGTACCTCGTTCGATAATGCACATCTACCTTCTGTCCTGTTTTCTAATTCTAAATGTTTAGCGGATCCTTGACACTGCACTGCACGTAGCACGTAAAGGAGGCCCGCCGATTAGCGTCCGGCACGAGAACAAGGAATGAAGGTTTATTGGCGGTCTGAGGGGTGAAGGGTAGGGGGAAGGGGAGCGATGCGGCCTTCCCTCTCTGCGTGCGCGCTTTGAAATCGTGGCGGTTGGATACTACTACGAGGGTACTACGATATGCATTTTAAATATTTACCATCCTAATCTTTCATTTTAAAGTAAGAAATGAAGTATTTGCGAGATACGCTAAAGTATATAGTCTTACCTTTTAATGATAATTTTTAGTTTAAAATTCAGAACAGGATAATTTAATACTTACTGGGCATGTAGAACTGTACACATCCACATAACATTGACGTATAGTTTGTGTAACATTCTAGGCGACAGTTACTTGACGTGTACTGCTTGAAGTATCTTAGATACTTTTCGTTACTGAAATAGCATTCTCTTTTGTCAGGATGGTACTTTCTCACTTGTTGAGAGGTTTTTGTCATTTTTGGCTGCACAGCAGCCATAATAGCATCACCGAATGATACTTGAAAGAACTGTTTTTTTAATTGGGGTAAAACGTGAGGAGCATGCAGTGAAACCTGAAATTAGACAGTCACCAATTAGAAGAAAATTTTCAGAAAACCATTTTATAGACCGATTTTACAAGACAAAGAGTTTACTTATCAAGCCTACTGCCGAGGAAGCATTGTAATCGCGAAAAATGTCGATAATGATATATTATATAGGTTTTGGTGTAATGCAAAAGCATCTCATTTCCGTCGATCTGTCTTCCTGTGTCTAGGTCTGTCCGCGAATCAATGGCCCATCTATAACTTAGAAAGTACTGAGCTCATTTAAATGAAATTTTCACGTAAGGCTACTACCATGCCAAAAAGGAAAAGGCTTTACATACTTGGAAATCGATCCACTGACAGTGGAGCTGCGGGAAAAGAGGAAGGCAATAAAAATCGCTGAAACTTCGATTCTTTGACATTTCAGAGGTGGGTTCTGGTTGTAGGACGCAGTAATTATCAAGATCAAGTTCAAGGTCACTATTTGAGCTCCTCGTTTCAATATTAGTATAGCTACCCTGACCTTCTTGTTGGTCAAGGTACAGTACTGTTTTGGAAGCATTTAACAGCTTGTTGAGATAGACATCCTGCGACCAGAGAGGAAGTCAGCCACCCATCTGCAAAGCTTCTCAAGGAGTCTACAGGCATCAAGGCATCATGTTACGGCTAATTTGTTAGACCTAGTCTTTGGAGCTTTTGGAACAAGGTGTAACCGAATAGAAAGATTGTATTTAGTTGAATGCATAGTGGACGTCTATATATGTTCGCTGCTATTTGATCATTTCGATGTGAGAGAAAGCTATCACAAAGGGCTAACTCAAGGCACCGATAACTAATACCGTTGGTTAACGTGTTCTACCTGAAACTAGGTAATCATCTAGGCAGCAGCGGTGGCCGCAGTAGTAGAGTCTTCGGTCTCCTGATCAGTCGCCGGGCGCTGTGCGGGTTCGAGTCCCGTCCCAGGAGAAATTTTTCTCTTGGCTATGGATGTTGTGATTGTCCGTAGGTGGTAGATGGTCTCTGACTGCCGAACGCGGAGGTACCACCCGGCGGTTCTCGTAGGCGGAGCCAGAATGTGTGCATGTTGCATGCACACGTGTTCCCTCGCCAGAGTCCGTGTGGCGTCCCCCCCTTTCCCATGTATCCCCCTATAGCCCCACGGTACCCAATGGGTGCTTAGGCCTTAGGCCTTCGTGGTAGTTGGAGTATAAAAAAAAATCTACTGTATTTGGTGTCCAAAGAATTATCCGACATCAAGTGGCGTCGTCTAAGACAACTTGTCACAACTTTGTTTTTTCTCTCGGTGATAATTATGAATCTGCTTTGAAAATATTCTTGTCATAGATAGCGATGCAGCCAGCTTTGTCGCATATAGTACGAGTATGAATTTTGCAAAAATCGTTATGGAGAATCATGAAGGATGATGTATTTGACAGTGCTCTTAATGAAAATGAATTACGAGCTTGGAATGCTTTTAAATCAGTCACCGCAAATTTTTTAGTCAATGTGAAAGCGGACAATTATGCAGATAACAATATCTGAGTGAACTAATTAATGCTTATAAAGGAATGGGATTAAACATGTCTCTAAAAATTCACTTTTTGGATTTTCATCTCGATTTTTTCCGGAAAATTTAGGGGCGGTAAGTGAGGAACATCGTGAACGATTCCACCAAGGCATTTCTGCTATAGAAAAACGGTATCAAGGCAAATGGAGTGTCAATTAGCTTGCTGAATATTGCTGACCATTGTTAAGTGTTACCTCAGGAGCAACATATCGCCGTACAACATCGACAACAACATTATGAGATTAATGTTTATTCGAGTGTTTATTAGTACTCTTATAAAATTCCTTATTGCAAGAAAACCGTGGGTGATAGCAAAAATCGAATGCTATTTCCGGCTTTTTGGGTACGTTTTACATAATAACCACCTTCTTTTGTCCATGTCACAGAAAATTTTGCTCACCAGTGTAATTATATACACATAGGTGTATAATCGACAGCTGTTTAGAGAGGGATATTGTTTTCCAGATCAGTGGAAACACGCTATAGTTGTTCTGCTACCTAAGAGTTCTGATTCTACTAAGGCCAACTGAGACCGATCGGTTTACTGCCTAATTTCTCAAAAGTATTTATGAGCAGCTGTGCGCCTACTTATAGGTATTCTAACAAAATTATACCATCTAAACAATCTGGATTTCGACAACGACATAATACAGCTTCGGCACTCTGTGATTTAACAGTCAATATAACAATGGCGCTTTATAACCAAAAAGCAGTAACTCTTATACTTCTTGACTTTACTAAAGCATTTGATACAATTAATCATTCACTTCTAGTGTCTAAATGCAGTTATTATGGATTTTCTGAAAAACCTCTTTCGCTTTTCCAAACTGTCTTGAAAATCGGTTCCTTGAACTTATCCCAGATTTATGAACAGACGTAAAAACATGCAATATACATTTTTTTGCCGGTGATACTCAGATTTTCTATTCATTTACGAGTAATGACTTGGAAACACCTAATAATAAAATTAATCAATATCTTGCCCAAACTGAAAAGATTAGCAGTAGTTATAATCTTCGTCCCTTTAAAGACAAATTTAATATGTTGGTGGACGCAAATAAAACATAACGCAGCCCTTTAAAAAAGGACGTAACTATAAATTTAAAAAGTAATAAAATAATAATTATATATCAGGCTATGATTCAGCCAGTACTGACGTATGGGTCAGAAGCGTGGGTTGTAGATAAAAATATGTCACAAAAGCTTCTCTCAACCGAAATGATGTACTGGAGAAGATGTTCCGGTTTAACTTTACTTGACCATGTTAGAAATGAGACCATCAGAGAAAGAATGGAAGTCGAAAATACAATAATGGACGATATAACAGAGAGGCAGTTAAAATGGTATGGACACCTGCAACGAATGAACGAAGAAAGGATACCATTAAGGGTTTGGAAATGGACACCAGCACAAGGAAATAAACGAGGAAGACCACGAAGGAAATGGATTTCAAACATCCATACCGCAATGGAAAGTAGAGGACTACATGAAGGAGACTGGAACGATAGGATACGATGGCGTATGGGTTGCGAGAAGCGACCTTAGGTTGCAGAAACTCGCCATATATATATATATATATATATAATAAAATAGTACCTGTGGATCATTCGATGAACCAAGATATCATAATGGATGATGACTTAAAATTCGTCGAACACGTACGCCATCTAATTTCTCAGTGCTACGCTTTCTCAGAGTTTTATTGCAAATAAGGCATTACATAAATCCGCGAGAAAGCAATAATATTGTTTTCAAAAATATTATATTGTTTTGTGGCTTACTATCAATATTTAGATACTAGGATAAGAAATCGTAGTCAAAATATTACGAATACATGTTTGCAGATGATCTCAGAAAATATGTATCGAAGGCCATTAATGACATCAAATGCATGAAAATTGATAAGATGTATAAATACTAGCTCCTAAGTCTGATTATAGGGTTTGTTATTCAAAAACACCAAGGTTTATGTTTGATCCATAAAACTTATTGAATAAGACACCAGAATATCTATTAAATAAACTCAACAAATTTGAATACATCAATAACTTGGCTACCAGAAATCGACAATTATTAGCTATACCTAAGCAATTTGCGTCTCTCTACAAAAAGAGCTTCTATTACACTGCTGCCAAGTTATACAATAGTCTTCCATATGAATTTTGAAATTATACTCTCAATCATTTTAAAAAGAAGTCAAAGTCGTGGCATACTCAGCAGTATATAATCACTCCCTCCCTAATATGTCACACAATCGACCTTGATAGTATTAAAATAAACAATTGGTCACATAAGTTAAATTTTTCTATTCTTACAAAAAACATAAATCGGTACTAATCGGTCGCTGATCACTTCATTATTCATTTTTGAGCCCTACAGGTCAATTTTATATTAGGATGTACGGTTGAGTTGAAAAATATCATCATGGTAACACTCCACCGATTCGATTGTTAAAATCTTAGTCACTTAACAATAGTAGACATTTATGTAAAAGAATCGAATAAATGCAACTTATTTTTTTATTCCCATAATGGCATCGACAACTGTGGTCATTATACACTTCCCTCCTGCCTTATGACCTCATTGAGTTAAACCTAACATCTCAGGGGTAGACCTGAGGGGTTACACATACAGACACATTTATTATAATTAACAGGTGAGACAAATGGTAAATATTTATTTATACACATAGAAATACGCAGATACGAAAAAGTAAGCATAAAACGTGCCTTTTGTTTCGATTACTGATGTTTTTATCGTTACTCTTCCAGAATAGCATTTTGTTCTTCTGTAATGGGCGCAGAAAGTGTGACGTTAAGTCTTCTGCTTAGATTTTGTAAGTCATGTCAGTATTTTTTAGAAAATCCAATAGGTTCCTGATGGAGAAACCATTAGCAGAACATCCTCAGATGATGCGTGGAATTGAAAACTGTAGGCGTTTGCGGTGATACTTTGGGCACTCCAGAATGAGATGGTCTATTGTAAGGACGCAGTGACACTCTTCGCAAAGGGGTGGTCTTTGTCCAACCAGAAAATGCGATGAAGTTAAACGGGTGTGTCGAATTCTTAGTCTTGTCAAGCAAACCTGCTCACGTCTGCTGAGGCCTGTTGGGTATTTCCGTTTTTCTACAGATGGCGCTGTATCTTCTGCAAGTGGCTTGACCTTTGCATCCATTGGTTTTGCCACGTCTGTTTTAAGCAGACTTTCAGGAGTACACTTGAAGTCCGTTGGAATGGTATCCACAGGGTACCATTTTGAATTGCATCGCGTGCGTCCCAGTCAGCTTGCTCATTACCAGGAATGTTAACATGGCCTGGTGTCCAAAAAAATACTACTGTCCTTGACCGCTGATCATTTATTTGAAGAATCAATGGATGTTATGAACTCCTATTTGTTATGGCTTGCTGGATATTCAAGGAGTCCGTACATACAAGGTACGTGTCAGTAGCAGCGTTCATATTAAGAAGGTACTTCAGAGCTTCTGATATAGCATGCAATTCAGCTGTAAATATGGACGTGAGTTGATGCAGATAGAATTCAAAAGACTGGCTGGAGGTTATAAATGCGGATCCAACTCCGTTTTCACTTTTAGCCCCATCTGTATAAATGACCTCTAAAGGACTGTATCAGCTTAGTATTTCCTCTACTATACGATTGTACGCGTGTCCAGGCGTTAATGATTTCATATAAGCAGTGCAGTCTAGGACAATGTTTAACTTGGTCCTGCGCCCATGGAGGAGTTTCACTAGGACCTATGCTATATACTCGTACCTCAAGGTCGTTCAATATCGAGTTCGCCTAAAATCTGTAGTGCCCTGGCACCGACCGGCTTGGTTATAGTTGGTCTTGCAATATATATGTCATCGTGACCGTCGTTGTACATAAGTTCGTAATTTGGGTGAGATTGTTGGGCCTGAATATCGGTAGCATAATTTAGTGTTAGCTATGAGATCATTAAAGAGAGAAGTGGAATGCCCGCGTCACAGTAAATAGAGTTGGATGGGCTAGTCCGGAAAGCACGGATGCATAGTCTTAGGCCCTCTCGGTGAGTAACTTCGAGGACATGTAGTTCTTTTAGCGGATGCAAAGGCTACAATACCATACTCTATTTTGGACATAACTAATGATTTATACAGCACCACTAGTACCTCTCTACTGGCACCCCACTTGATGCTGGATGTACATCTGATAATATTGCGTGCCCTTTTACATTTCAGTGCTAAGTAGTCGACTTGCTCTTTCCATAACAGCTTAAATTACTCCTAGGGTACGATGTGATTCTTTGAACGAAATAGCATCCTCCGTACAAGTTTAGTATAGGATCTCGGTGCGGTGTTCTGAGACTGCAGTAACGTAGTGCAACGGTTTTTGATTTTGAAAAGGCAATCCCGTTCTTTTCGGCGGTGTTGGATAGCGTATCTATAACAGGCTAAAGGGTGTCAAAGCAATCTATTATTGTTATTATTATTATGATTATTATATTTTTTGTTCGCTACATTACTTAGTATACCCATTTTCGCTTGTTTGCTTTCCGTGATAATTGCTAAAGTGTATGAAACAACTTTATATAAGGTTGCTTATGCTCGAAAAGATGGAAAGCATTCTATTCAGTTATATGATAAATATTCCTTCGTGCATAGAATCACCGACCACAACCAGTAGAGCACTACCGCACTTACTTTAAATCCTTGTGAATTTGGTGAGCACAAGTAGTCCAGTTCACTAGCTGATTGCCTAAACGTGATGTGCAAGCCATTCTCATATCCAGACAGATATGCATTATTAGGGTAATTCAAAAATGAACCATCAGGTGTACTATCGTTGAAGGTATATCCATTGTCAATGTCCCAATTCACCGTGTTTTCATTTTTGTGATAATCTTTGAATCGATACCTACAAATAGACGATACGTAGTTTTGTAATAATTTATCGGGATTTCTTTTTTGTCAGGGCTGAATAAAATCAACAATTTTGGAAAAAATACGTTTGTTCACTTTATCACAATCAATGACTGAAAAATATAAATACTATTTAATTTGGTGAATTGAAATATCATGGGGATATCAGGAAAAGTATCCAGACAATTATAACTAAAGTAAAAGTGTCAATATTAGTGTATATATGTAAAATATATATTATTGGTTTTGATAATGATCTTTCATATCTACAGTTTCATGGATGGCGCATATTGGTTGTTGTAAAATCCATTTCTTGAGTTCTTTTTCAAACGATCTAACTGCTTTTAATGACTCTGGTATGAAGTTTTATAATTTTGGCCCCAAGAAAAAAAGGGATTCAAGTGTTTCGAATGTTTGACGTACTACAAAAATAAATTTGTCTGCAATCTAATAGTCGATCCTCCGTATTAAGAGAATGGCTTTGATAAGTAATCTAATTACGGAGGATCAATTTTAGAATTGATTTTTGGATTACATAAACCTTTTTATAATTATTATTCATAATGCCCCCCATGCCAAAATTCCGTAGAGTAGTAGAGGATAAACCAGAGCATAATAAAGATGGTATAGATATTTCTTTTCCAGAATATCTCTGAGGTATCTGAATTTTGGAACTATACATCTCAGTCTCTTTACCAGCTATTCTGTATAGGCATTCCATTTTAAGCGTTTGTCCAAAACTACGACTTAGTATTCTATTTTATCGGTTGACTAAATCTCTTTATGACCACCGCTTGTATGAAATTGAAGCTTACTAAACTGCAGTGAGAGACTTTTTGATTTAAGAAAAAAAATACAAACCTAACGAAAAGAGAATATTTAGTAAGTTTGGCGAGTTTTATTTCTTAAATATCATTCCTTTGCAGAGTTCCGGCGTGATGTTTATTTGTTGTCGAATGTTGTCTTAACACTCCTCCAGGGTTCGTGGATTATTGGAATACACTTTTGACTTTAGATAACCCCACAAAAAATAAACACATGGCGTGAGGTCAGGTGACCTAGGAGGCCAGTGGATGTCTCCAAACTTCGATATAACGTTTTGAGGAAACTGTGCTTCCACCGCGTCCATCGATTCTCTGGAAGTATGGTCAGTGGTCCCATCCTGTTGAAACCATATGTTTCTGTTAAGTCGATGTTCTGTTCTTACAATAGGTGCAAAAAAGTGTCAATCATGTCCTTGTATCGCTTGGAATTGACTGTCAATGCATCTTCAAAGAAATACGGCCCAATAATACCGCTAGAGGGTATGGCGTACCGAACAGTCACCTTTAGACTATGTAGCTGTTGTTGATGTTTCTCTTTTGGGTTCGTTGGTGTCCAATATCTGCAATTTTGCTTGTTCACATAACCATCTAAGTGAAAATAGGCCTCGTCACTGAAAACAACATTTTCGAGTCTTCATCCGTTTAGCACGAGATTTCCGTGATACGTAATCGTCTTCCTTTAAAGTTTCAAACCATGGACTGCTTGGATTTTATAAGGATGTGAACTAATTTTTTCTTCATTGTACCATGCAGTGTTGACCTAGGGATTCACAAAGCAGCGGAATGCTTCCGTACAGAACGAAGAGGATTTGCAATGATCGAGTCACTTACTCGACATACATTTTCCTTCGGTATATACAGTAGGTGTGGGGTCAGGAATGGGTTGACTAAGAGTAGAGCCTGTCTCACGGAACCTCTTAATAGCTATTTTCAAGTTCTAAATTCAGTACTGTCACAGAACGGTTCTCGAACTGCGCAAGACTAAATGCCTAAAGGGGAAGATCTCTCAACCGGTTATGCACACTCCGTGAACTATCAGAATTTTGTCAAAACCTAAACAGCCTGAACCCAGGACTACGGAACAAAGAAGATAAGTGGAGAGAACATTATTGTCAGTAACTATAACCACACTTCTTTCTTATAAAGTTTTCACAAAAGTTTTGTACGCTGGGTGTAACTGCTTCAAGTTCATCATGTCAGACGACGATGATGATGACGAATCAGAATCCAAAATCATCTATATTGGATCTAATTGTCAACTTTCCTTTTAATTTTACATAAAAAAACACTCCTCAAATCGCGAAAAAGTAAACAGCATTTGAAGCAAAATTCGTCAAATAATTTTAATGATATTGACAGAAGGAATACACACGTGAAAAATTAGTTCAAAAATGGTCCCGGCAGTAAAGCAAGAACTGCCTGAACGATTCTCGAACCATCGTAGAACTGAACCAGTATACAACGCGAACACCAAATTTCAGTGCTAAAACGATCCGATAGTAATCAAGCAGAAACCCGAACACGTCAGTTTCTTCTGCGCAACCTCCTGATAGTTCTAGTACAGTAATGACAAAAACCTGAAGAAACCTAATTTCATTCCGAAGGATAGCAGCGTATGAATCACCACTATTAAAGTAATCCTCGATAGGCAAAAGCACGTTGCGCTCCGGTCCAACATTCCTTGTTACCATTTAACCCGCGCGCCGAACGCGTCGATCAAGACCTCTCCCCACTTCCTCACGTATACGGTTTCCGCGTAATTCAAATTTGAAATGTAAACTTTCCCACTGAACCCCCGCATTATGACACTGGTTACTTTTATAGCGAAAAATTTTGCATCATCCGCAAAACCAATAACTTTACCCTCGTTACTTTTACTTACACATCATCCCTGAAGATAGCTGTTCGATCCAGCATATTGTAAGTATAGCAAATACCTTCATCTAGAATTATAGGTTGGAAAAGCTTTTCACAGGGTTCTGGATCATTCACTCCTACCTGACACTCCTCAGTGTATTCACTAAGATTGAGTTTCATCTACAATGAGAATACATTTTTGTTTCAATGGCAATGCTAATGGAAATTATTGACCCTTTTTACAATAAAATAATATTTACATGAACCCTTTGATCGAGACCTCTTATAAAAAGCTATAGTAACTCAGAGGCTGACGTCAATTAGCACTTTATTCGATTTGGAAAGGAAAAATGGTGTTACAGTAGATAGCGATTAGGGATGCATAGTCTGTAATGAAACTTTTCGTATGAGGGTCGTTTTTTAAGTATTAACTTTTTAGTAATGGATTCAGAGAAACTATGTTTATCAATGTAAATTGTACCACAAGCTAAAATACGAACGTCTTTCAATATAGGGACCACAAACGTTTCAACAACTGTCAGTTCATGTCACGAGATTTTGTATTGTCAAAAACGCTGTCGCCTGACCATTAAACCAGTTAGTAACTGTTTTCATCAACATGACATTTTTCAAGCGCTTGCCACCAAGAAATTCCTTAAGTTTTGGACAAAGTTCTGATAGTGTTAAGTCAGAGCTGTATGGTGGATGATCCAGTTACTTCCGAGAAGTTTGTCCAGTTGCGTCTGTGTCTTTGCCATAACCTGAGGCTGAGCGTTGTCGTGAAGCAGAAGGATGCCGCTAGAGACCAGGCTCCGCCGGCATCGGCGGCTTTGAATAGCAAGCTTCAGTAACAACAAATTACCGATTTAAAAACCGAACTACTCAGCGCGCTGACTGACGTGGCGACAAACAAAGCAGTATAACCACGTAACCAACACCGACAGAGATGTGAAACGTAACCGTTGCGTAGTGAGATATTGGCCAAAGGTATCTGAGGTTGAACAGGCAGTGTGCGGGGCCCCGATGCGCAATCAGTTCTCACCATAAAAGTGGCCCTCATACCAGTAATCTACCTGAAGGTAGCCAACCATCTTCTGTATTTGGGCATCCAAAAAATTTTCCTTGATCCTGTCTGCTGTAATTTGACGACTACATTGAAACGCTTAATGTTTCATAGATGGCGCGGTGGCTATGCATATGCTCATATATGCTCACACAGTTGGCCATAGCGCCATCTAAGAGACATTCACCTGTTTGAAGTAGATTTCTTAATATTACGGACACGAGAAATATGTCTGTGACCTGGGGTGATGAGCGCCTAATAAGTCATTTCAAAGGCCGTTTTAAGCGCAATTCCAGGGAATTAAGCATATAACCCGTAGAACCTAGAGCCTAGAGCATTCAGTTTTCACTAAAAATCATCCAACCGTCGCCGTCGTTGCGGTGAGGTATAGAGCCACACTGTTCACATACAATGCTACTTACCCGATCAATTATTTCATAAAAGTTGTTAGAGAATTTTGACGACTTATGAAAGTACCTTTGACCATGGCGACATAGTAAGGACAAGTAATGTCCATTAAGCTGTCTGAAAAAGAATGAAGCATGTCAAAGAAAGTAAAAGAAATGGGTATGTATATTGTCCTGTGGATTCAGCTCAACTATAAAAATAATGTTAACAAAACGTTTCATCAGTGACGTATCCAGTAGAAGAAAAATAAGATGTTTCTTTGTAGGTATATAGGATTCTGTTCTGACCAGACCATGACTACGCGACTGACTCAAAGGCTAGATCCGCCCTAACCATAATTCAAAATAATTAGATAACATATGGTCACATATCTAAGTTCTACGAGTATATCAATTATGTTCCGCCCTCGTTAAAGTAAATATTTATACTACATAACGTAGTACCCTCGTAGCTCACCAAACCCCCACGATTTCAAAGCGCACACGCAGCGAAGGAAAGCGGCACCGCGCTCCCCCTACCTTCCTCCTCACTGGCCGCCTATGAACACTCAATCATCATGTTATTATGGGCTTAGATTACGGTGTGATAAGAGATCAAGATATAATTGTTTGAGCTATCAGTCTTACCCAAAATGCTACTAACGCAGACGGTTTTAGCTGAGGGCCTCACAATTGACAGAAAACAAGAGATAAAATGCGTCTACCTCTAGGTTATAGTAGTCTCAGGCTCGCGGCGAGCTGGAGTGCGTCTTTTGAGATACGTCACAAACTCCTTTTGTCAAACAATAGGTTTGTTCAAGCGGCATTTGAGGTGATCCAAGTCTCCACACCTTAAACATAACTATGTTATTACGTTATTTGCTTATTACCATGTAACGGATGGTAATTTTTGAACCAATGTAGCTCCCTCACTCCTTATGTATCACCCAATTGTGGCAATAACTTGGCTTTGAAGAAAATGAGGTAGCCAGAGAGAAGGAAGGTAGGGCGAGCGCGGTGCCGCTTTCCTTCGCTGCGTGTGCGCTTTGAAATCGTGGGGGCTTAGTGAGCTACGAGGGTACTACGTTATGTAGTCTAAACAGGGCCGTAGCCAGACCTGCGTTGGTATCAGGGCATTACTAATTATTGTCCGGGCGACATTTTATTTGGAACTAGAATTATTATACATCAAGTACCCATCAAGTATTTGTATTTCTGGAAAAAACAGCGTATATTTATCCTGTCTACTCGTGAAACGTAACTTCGTTGCACGTTATATGCCCACCAGTATTTCTCGTAAAATGCGCATTAATAATGTCAACAACATCTAATAGTGTAATAAAAAATCACTATTTATTTTATCAGTTTTTATTATTATTATTATTAAATTCATCAAATAAACTACCAATACAGTGAACCCGAAAAGATATAACAGCTAAACACAATCTTTTAAATATACCCTGATTTGAATGTTTAAAATAGGGGGAGCTTTATATTAGCACAACTATGAAATTTTCGAAGAAACAAATCTAGGTCTAGTGCAGCGACTCTTCTTCGTTCAAATGCTAAATAGGAAAGATCAGCCATTCGTTGATGATGCATTGAATACCTTTCAGGTCGATTGACTGCTGTCAACGAAGAGAAAGAAGATTCACAAAGTGCCGTGCTGCAAGCGAAAGTAGCAACTGTTGCAAAGAGCTGATACGTTGCCCTAAAGGCTTCCCTATGTTTGTAAAGCTTAGAGAATATACTTTCTTTTTGTTCCATGGCGACGAAATCTTTAACAACCGACAACTCTTCAATAGATGGAAGCTCGATACCTCTAACAATAATAATAGCTATAGTTATATAATTTTGGGTGATTTAAAATGATCTCTTACCAAGTCTTTTGAGAGGTTGAAGTTTTATCAAATCGAATTCTTCGATGCTACTAATGGCCATCAATAGGTCGTCATTGTCCGAAAACCTTTCTTCCAACTGAAGAAGCGTTAGATCTAAACTACAGTCTTCGGTGTCTTCCTGCGTATTTGGTAGGGTTTCCATCACAAAAAAATCATTTAGGTTATGAGTACCCTGTAACTTGCTTTACGGGCTCACTATTTTCGGTAGATCAAGATCAGTTACTTGGATATTCACGTCCTGTGCCTTTATAAGGGTTGGCAAAGTTTTTGCCTCGGCAAAGCAGCTATAGTCAACGCCAAACAAAGTGGCGTGCACGTCATCACGATAAAAATTCCCCGACCTAATGCCTAGGTTTCTATCACAAACAATTGCTCTATTGCAGTTGCATATTAATGTGATATATAAATTGTAAAATGGTCATTACTCTCTTATTATGGTTAATAGTCATATAAACATTGTTATTAAAATATCACATAAGTTGCTTTCTGATAAATTTAGACGCATTATGCGAAATAAAATGTTTTGCAAACGCTCCAATCACTTATCGACATGTAAACGCACTAAACCGATTTCGCAGCGTTGACACATTGTCACCTTGAAACTTATTTAAACTGGGAACTGACATTTGTATTAATTTTGACACTGAATCAATTTGTGGCATTTCAAATCTTTATAAATCCTTTGGCCCCTCATACTGTAAATCAACAACTGTTTGTTTCAAAACAAAATTATTCATTTTACGAGTAGATAAAGGCAATTTTGGTATATAAAGATGCCCAAACAGTTAAATAGTCGGTGTAAGGAACTCGTGGCCTCGTTAATGCACTACTTTGAGCAAGAAAGGGACAACAACGGGCCTTTGTTGCCTTTAAGTGCTGTTCAAGAGGTAGGTTACTAATAATTATATGTAATGTATATTAATAATAGTGAAATTTTATTTCATTTTTTGTAGCGTGTTGCTGCTGCTTTAAAAATTAGTTTAAGGACAGTTAGTCGTATTTCCGAGGGTGTGAAAAGTGATGCAAATTTAGAATCGCCCAAGAAAAAGCGGAGTTATATTAAACGTGTAACCAACACAGCGACATTGGATACAAGTGCCATTCGAGAAGTGATCTATAATATGTATCACAAAAGTAAGATCTTATTATAATAACTTATCAGAAATTTGCATTAATTTGTTAACTAAATTATAATGTCATATTACACATGGTTTCAGAAGAACAAGTTACGATACAAACTTTATGGTCTCGATTAAGAGATAGGGCATTATTTGATGGTAGTGCCACGTCTTTAAGGCGGTTGCTTAGAGATCTTGGATTTAAGTGGCTTAAGGACAATCCGCGACGAGGGCTCATGGAACTACCAAGTATAGCTTTGAAAAGGGTGGAATTTCTAAGGCAATACAATCAAGCCAAGGTTGAGGCCTTATACCAGTTTGTCTTCCTCGATGAAACTTGGATATTTCAAAATGGGACCATAGGTCGCTCTTGGCAAAATGGAAACCAAAAAAGCGTGAAAGCTATTAAAACAGATGGTAAAAGGTATGTACTTTTACACAATTTGCACTATAAAATTTAAAACTAATATATTTTAGATACATAATATTACATGCTGGAAATGAAAATGGGTTTATTGAGGGTAGTGAAGCGATATTTTCTTCGAAAACAAAATTGAGCGATTACCATGGAGAGATGAACCAGGACAATTTTTTGAAATGGTTTCAACATCAGTTATTAGAAAAATTGGAGAGTCCATCTATGATTATACTGGATAACGCCCCTTATCACAGCATGATATTGAACAAAGTGCCCAACAATGCATGGACAAAAAA